AGGGGGGGGGGGGGGGCGACCTGAAGTTCTTTAACAACATAGCAACAAGTCTCTGTCTCTGGTTAAGTTGTTCTTTTCTGGCTCAGAGAATTCACCTAATATGTACTGAACACATGCTTTGTCTAGTCTTCCCCAACATTTTGACCTCATAAGGCCCCATCTGATGGTGGTGGTTGGATGAGGTTTTTGCAGAGATAACCACATAGATGTGATAGCTTGACAAGTTAGTCACGGGATTGAAATCAATCAAATTTAAGTTTCAACACATGAGGTCATGTCCTTAGAGAGTAGCCACTCTTGTTCTCTTGGTAGGCAACTTAAAGGTCACACCACATCAATTAAAAAAATTAAATGTGCTAATGTTTTATCATAGACAAGAGAAGATTGCAATGTCTCATCTTGTGAAGTGCATATAATGTTGATCAGCTTTCATTGCGTGTCATATCTGGAAAACAAAACCATGTGAAACTCTCTTCTTGCATGTCCCACACTTGTAGTTGTAGACCATAGTTTCATTGGTTGCGGAGTGATTTTAAATCCTGAATTGGTCTATTTATACATCAAGACAGAGAACCAATTCTTCATATCACCACGTAGTAAAGCAATCCAAAGCTTGACTCACAACATTTAACTTGTTATCCTCAATTTAGATTTTCAAAGAACATAAATGGCTTTGGTAAGAAGTTTCTTGGGTGCAAAGAAGATTATGAGCCGCTCTGTAATGGCTACAACACCAAAAGGGTTTCTTGCTGTGTATGTTGGTGAGGACAAGGTCCAGAAGAAAAGATATATGGTTCCTGTCTCATACTTGAACCAGCCTTCTTTTCAAGCTCTGCTCAGTAAATCTGAAGAAGAGTTTGGGTTTGATCATCCTATGGGTGGCTTAACGATCCCTTGTCCTGAAGATACTTTCATCACTGTGACTTCTAGCCTAAAGGGAAGATGATCCGAGGAGAAGAGAGATCTAACATTATGTACCCGAGTTAGAGATATAGAATTATTCAATGTAAATAGGTCAACCTTTTTCCTCGTTCTTTTGTGAGAAAAGAGTTGTTTCCAAGAAGTTACAAAGCTCAGTGTGTCATTTTTGTTGTGTAAGCATTAAAGGTATCTCTATGCAAATTGCAGAAAGTTTCTGAAAATATTATCTCATCTTGAAAGTTTGGATTTGCTTGAGTGTTAATGACATTAAAAGTTTGTTGTTTCAAATATACAGAGGAATCAATGATATGAGTTGAATTATATGGTCTGCAGCGTTTCACAAGTTTCAACTTGTTTCCCATTGCTTGGTGTTAACAATATGAAGAGCTTCTTCTGTTTCTGTAGATACAAAGGAATCAATGAAATGAGTTGAAACTTGTGGTCTTTCCAAACAGCATTCCACATGACTGTGAGAAACAAGAAAGAATGATTGATTGATTGACTGTGAGATGAGTAACATTGTTCTTATGTAATTATTCTTTGATTGGTTCCTTATAAGGCTATAACCATGAATGAATGTTCTGTCTTATTTCTAGCTTTTTTTTTTCATGTGATCGAGCCATACTAATATAGATACATTTCATGTATGCAAGAAGCCAAGAACGATGACAATATTCTCAGAAAACTTAATGTAATTAGTATAACATACACATTTAAATTTTGAAACCTCTTGAACAACCCTCTTTCACAAAGAAAGATGTAAAAGTTAGCATATATACATTGAATAATTCTCTCTCTAACTCAGGCTAAAAGTAATGTCAGTTATTTTTCTTCATTGCTCAAGCCGGGAAGTCACATTGATGAAGGTATCTTCAGGACAAGGGATTGTTAAGCCACCCATTGGATGATCATATCCAAACTCTTCCTCGGATTTACCGAGTAGAGCTTGAAAAGAAGGCTGGTTTAAATATGAGATTGGCACCAAATATCTCTTCTTCTGGACCTTATCTTCACCAACGTACACTGCAAGAAACCCCTTTGGTGTTGAAACTGTTCTTTTGCTTGTAGCCGCTACAGAAAAGTTAATAATCTTCTTTGCACTCAAGATACCTCTGAGCAAAGACATTTCTTTTGTCTGGAAAATTGAATTTTGAAGCTTTTCAAAAAAGATGTTAGATGCTCAAGTTTGGCTTGCTTTGCTACTCGGTGATTCGAAGAGTTGGTTCTATCTCTGGATGTATAAATAGATTGAAACAACCCTGGAAGCATGGGACATACACAAACAGAGTTTCACATGGTTGTGTCTTCTAGGTATGACCTATGCCAAGAAACGAAAGCTGTCATGTTTGATCCTAGTTGTGGATATAGTTTAAGAACAACTTAACCTGTGACAGAGACTTGTTGTTCTGTTGTTGAGAAACTTCAGGTCCCCACTTTACTTTCTTATTAATTGAATCCGTTAAGACCACATAGATGAGAGAATATGATCACCACAGAACATGAAGAACAGAAACTTGCTGGTCTGTATTATAGACAATAGCATATGTCTTATGTCAAAAACATTGAGAAAACAACCCCTTGTGGATTGCATATGTAGTTTGTTTCTAGCTTATTGTCCCACACTGAATCAATAATCTCACCAAGAAAAAAATTGCATTTAGCTATAACTTTTCAAGTTGGTAAAGACATAACCATGTGAAACTCTATTCTAGTATGACCCACACTTGAAGACCACAAGTTTCAAAGACTTTTCAGAGAGGCTTCAACTCATTCATTGATCTTTCTATATATACATATCACATTACCTATTCTTTCCATCATCAACCAACAAACAAGCAAATCCAATAGCTTGAATCTTTTCATACCTCTTCAGAAGTTTCATAAGAATTCAAACTTTTTCAGTCCCAAAAAGAACAGTAATGGCTTTCGTGAGAAGTATATTAGGTGCAAAGAAGATTCTTGGCCGCTCCACAACAGCAGCAGCAAGCAAAAGGTTACCTTCAGCGGCACCAAAGGGGTTTCTTGCTGTGTACGTAGGAGAGGCTCAGAAGAAAAGATTTGTGGTGCCAGTCTCTTACTTGAGCCAAGCTTCGTTTCAAGCTCTTCTCAGTAAAGCCGAGGAAGAGTTTGGGTTTGATCATCCAATGGGTGGCTTAACAATCCCTTGTCCTGAAGATGCATTCATAGCTGTGACGTCTCGGCTCCAATGAATTTTTTTTTAAACTTAGAGATAGACTTGTTCCTTGTAAATAGAGGAAAAATTTGTTTCTCTTTCATCTTGAAAGAGTTGTTCTAAAAGTTTTGAAAGTACATACCACTTTTTAGTTACAGACACAATCAAGATTCATGTCAAGTTAATTACATATTCACTGACAAAGAAAAGGCGACACCAAGTTTATACTTTAGTTTCCATTAATAAAGTTAAATGAGCATTTATCATAATGGATCTGTGGCTCAACTTAACCAATTTGTCTGCTAGAAATTTCTTTCTTTATTTTGTTTCTTGATATTTGCTCTGTTTTTCTCTTATACCGTTAGATTGGCGCCAAAACATACAAGGGTTGACAAAACCGACACTTTCCTTGTAACAACAGCTTCTCCATTAGCTTTCTCATTAAAACTCTAAAAGCTAAAGTAAGAATCATTCTTACATCTGCAAGGGAGTGAATGCATTCTCAGCTTTCAATATTTCGTCCTTAAATTACTATTTATCAGTCTTACAACTCACGTAACAATCTCAGTCATTTGATCAAATGTATTTTATGTACTCTGTTTTAGTCTCTACTAACAAAGCTCAAAGACCGAAATATTTGTACTTAGAACTTTCTTGCGTAAGTGTTAAAAAATTAACTTCAACCAGTGACAGAGACTTGTTTTCTGTTCTGTTTTTGAAGACCAAATGGTCCCACTTTTTGCCCTTATTAAATACATTTTAACCATAGAGTTTAGATGATAGCTAGAGAGCTAACCACTTGATCATCACAGATTTCACAGAAACGTCCTATCTCTCAAACATTGAGAAGACAAGCCCTTGTGAATTGCACATGGAGAGTACAATCCAAAATGTACAAATTGCATTAATGCTTCTTTTCCAGATGCTCAAGACAGAACCATGTGATACTCTCTTGTTCTAGTCTGTCCCTACGCTTCAAAGACCACAAGTTTCAATGACTTTTCAACACACAGTTTTCACTGGCCTTTCTATATATCCACAAGAGCCATTCTTCCCCATCACCAACCAGCAACTAGCAATCCAATAAGTTTAATATTTTCCATACATCTCTTCAAAAGAATTCTAACTTTCAGAGAAAAGAAACAGAAATGGCTTTCGTGAGAAGTATAATGGGTGCAAAGAAGAAACTTGGCCGCTCTGTCTCAGCAGCTTCCACGAGCAAAAGAGCATTCTCGGCGGCACCAAAAGGGTTTCTTGCGGTGTACGTAGGAGAGAGCCAGAAGAAGAGATATGTGGTGCCAATCTCATACTTGAGCCAGCCTTCTTTTCAAGCTCTTCTCAGTAAATCAGAGGAAGAATTTGGGTTTGATCATCCAATGGGTGGCTTAACGATCCCTTGTCCTGAAGATATATTCATCAACGTAACGTCTAGGCTCCAATGATGATTATGATTCTCCAAATCTTTTCTTCTTCTTGAGTTAGAAATAGACTTATTCATTGTAAAGTATGGGAGATTCTTTTCTCATTTCTTTCTTCTAATTTTGAAAGTAAATACCATTTTCATGTTAAACTAATACATTTTTCGTAGATCATTTAAAAACAAAGGACAACACCATTCCTCTGTTTAAATTATATTTAACTTGTTAAATAAAATAAATGAAGTGTTCATCATCCATTGAGGTCTTTTATCTAATAAAAAAAGAGATGACAAAGTTAAAGAGAATGCAAAGACATGAGAAAGTTTAATCTCTGTATAATAGTCCTACAAAAGCTTGTCTATTATTGTTCTCTCATTGAAACTCCACCCACCCTCCTAAATCTCATTAAAAATTCTAAAGTTAGAATCATACTCCAGTTCACATTTGCAAGGAACTTTTTATTTCTTTACTTAAAATTGACTTCTGCAGTGAAGAGCTGTTCACAGTCAATCAATCATCCATTTCTTGATTGATATTTAAAAGAGGGAATCATGTGAAATCGCTGTTCATGTAGACAACAAGTTTCAACTAATTTCGTTGATCCCTTTGTATGTACTGAAACAGAACAAACTCTTCATTTCATAAACACTTGAGCAGTTCAAATACTTGAACAGTTATCTTTAAGAACCAAAACTTAATTTCTAGATGAATATATGTTAAAGCTTTCTGCAATTTGCATGGAGATACCTTTAATGCTTACACAACAAAAGTCACATTCACACTGAGCTTTGTAACTTCTTGGAACAACTCTTTTCTCACAAAAGAACGAGGAAAAAGGTTGACCTATTTACATTGAAAATTTCTATCTCTAACTCTAGCTACATAATGTTAGATCTCTCTTCTCCTCGGATCATCATCCCTTTAGGCTAGAAGTCACAGTGATGAAAGTATCTTCAGGACAAGGGATCGTTAAGCCACCCATTGGATGATCGAACCCAAACTCTTCTTCAGATTTACTGAGCAGAGCTTGAAACGAAGGCTGGTTCAAATATGAGACAGGAACCATATATCTCTTCTTCTGGACCTTGTCCTCACCAACATACACCGCAAGAAACCCTTTTGGTGTTGTAGTCGTTACAGAGCGGCTCATGATCTTCTTTGCACCCAATAGACCTCTTACCAAAGCCATTTATAGTCTTTGAAAATCTGAACTGAAGATGGGTTGAGGAATAAAAAGTTGAATGCTGAGAGTCAAGCTTTGGACTTTACTACTTGGTGATGTGAAGAAATGGTTATGTGTCTTGATGTATAAATAGATCAATGAAGGAGTTAAAACCAACCTGTAACCAATGAAACTATGGTCTACAACTACAAGCGTGGGACATGCAAAAAAAGAGTTTCACATGGTTTTGTTTTTCCAGATATGACAAGCAATGAAAGCTACTTAACTTGTATGCACTTCACATGAGTTTGTTTCCTGAGTGTTTTTATAATCAATTAAAGAGAAAAAATGAGATATTGCAACCTTCTCTTGTCTATAATAAAGTTTCTTAGTGATGTTGTGGGACCTTAAGTTGCCTACCAAGAGAACAAGAATGCCATTCATTTTCAAAAGACATGACTCATGGGGTGAAACTCAAATTTGATTGAAATGTAAATGGCGACTAACATGTCAGGCTGTCATTTCATCTAACCACCGCCACCACAGTGACCATCATATGGGGCCTCATAATATCAAAATGTTGAGCAAGACAAATCATCTATTAAGATATCTTCAAGTGGTATGCATATCTATAAAAAGAAATTCCCAAAACCCTTAAACCGCACAAAAACTTCTCACATCCTCAGAAACCAATAAGAACTTTCTCTTTGCTGTCTCTCTTTACATACAAAAACTCAGAAAAAGATAACACATATACCCAACAGACGATCTGATGCAAATCTTCAGGCAAGCGAAACTGTTTGCAACTTCAAAGTCTGCTAATGTTCCAAATGGTTACTTAACAGTGTACATTAGGGGACAGCCAAAAGAAGTGATATGTGGTTCCAGTAACAAGATCTTCTAAGAAACGCAAATGGATTTGAGTTTTGATCACCCAATGGATAAACAGTCTACAGTAGACTAACAATCCCATGAAGCGAAGAAACATTTGCTCATCTCACGTCGAATATCCAAAAGAACAAACATCTCAGTGATGTAATATCTTTCCTCGCATTTGAGCTAAGTTGTAAAAAGATTTAACCTTCTAAACTAGCTAAAGAAACATGTGTCTCAAAGTTCCATGTTCGTATCGGACGGTCAAGATCTGACATAGAGGAGTCTATGAGACAATCAAATAAAAATGCTTCCTTTTATGTTCTCCTCCAAAGAAAGCATCTTCCTTTCTCCACTAAGCGCCATGGACGACGAGACCCAAATCGCATCCATCCTCAAATCATCTTCCCTCTACCCAATCCCACAAAGCCTCAAACTTTCATACGGAACAGCCGGCTTCCGAGGCGACGCATCCCTCCTGGACTCCACCGTCTACAGAGTCGGCATCCTCTCCTCCCTCCGCTCCCTCAAACTCAACTCCTCAACCATCGGCCTCATGATCACTGCCTCCCACAACAAACTCTCCGACAACGGCATCAAACTCTCCGACCCATCCGGCGGAATGCTCTCTCAGGACTGGGAGCCCTTCGCGGATCAGATCGCGAACGCTTCTTCTCCTCAAAAGCTCGTATCTTTGATCAGAGAGTTCGTGGAGAAGGAAGGGATCGTGATCGGAGAGAAAAGTGGAGGAGAGGTTTGGTTGGGGAGAGATACTAGACCTAGCGGTGAACGGCTTCTTAGGGCGGCAGAGATTGGTGTCTCCTCTGTTTTGGGATGTGTTGCTGTTGATTTTGGGGTTTTGACTACTCCTCAGTTGCATTGGATGGTTAGGGCTAAGAACAGAGGTCTTAGGGCTAGTGAAAGTGATTACTTTGAGAGTCTAACGGCTTCGTTTAAGTGTTTGATTGGTTTGATCCCGGTTAGTGCGAAGAATAGTGCTACATTGTTGTTAGATGGTGCTAATGGTGTGGGTGGGATGAAGATGGAGGTTTTGAGAGGGTTTTTGAGTGGTTTAGACGTTGAGATACGTAACACTGGGAGAGATGGAGGTGTGCTTAATGAAAGTGTAGGTGCTGACTTTGTGCAGAAGGAAAAAGTTGTGCCTTTAGGGTTTGGGGATAAGGATGTTGGGGTGAGGTGTGTGAGCTTTGACGGTGATGCGGATAGATTGGTTTACTTTTACATTCCTGAAAACTCTTGTGGTGGGGATAAGGTTGAGTTGCTTGATGGTGATAAGATTCTGTCTTTGTTTGCTCTGTTTATCAAGGAGCAGCTGAAGAGTCTTGGTGATGAAGGGAAGGAGACTCGTCTTGGTGTTGTGCAGACGGCTTACGCTAATGGTGCGTCGACGGATTATGTTAAGGAGATGGGTTTGGAGGTTGTTTTTGCTAAGACCGGGGTGAAGCATTTGCATGAGAGAGCAGAAGAGTTTGATATTGGAATCTACTTTGAAGCTAATGGCCATGGGACTATTCTGTTTTCGGAATCTTTCATGTCTTGGTTAGTTGGTAAGCAAAAGGAGCTTAGTGAAGGCTCTGATGAGTACAATGCGGTTTCTAGGTTAGTTGCTGTGAGTAATCTGATTAACCAAGCGGTTGGTGATGCTATAAGTGGGTTGCTCTTGGTTGAAGTGATTCTGCAGCATATGGGATGGTCTGTACAGAAGTGGAATGAGTTATACAAGGATCTTCCTAGTAGACAGGTTAAGGTTGAAGTTCCAGACAGAACAGCGGTTGTGACCACAAGCGAGGAAACCGAGGCGCTGAAACCTTTGGGGATTCAAGATGCCATTAATGGTGAGATCAAGAAGTACCAGCGTGGTAGAGCTTTTATTAGGCCATCGGGAACAGAAGATGTGGTGAGAGTATATGCAGAAGCATCTACACAAGAAGCTGCTGATTCTTTGGCTAATTCTGTTGCTCAGCTCGTCAAAAGCTTCCTTGGTTAAAGCTAAAGATCCATCTAAAGCTCTGCATGAGTATGCTAAGCAAAGATCTTCCTTGTTCATCTCTTACTTTTCACATTTATGTATAAACCTAATGATACGTTTGCTTGTCTTTTGTGTTCTGTTTCTTGAGCGTTACTTTGTTTCTATTTTAGTTCTTCTTCTCTTTCTCCCCCAAGGTAGACTGAAACATACTTGGCTTGCCTGATTAACTTTAAATATTGCATAATACTTCTTATGTTTCTAAATAAGAGTATTGAAAGAGTTGTTGAGAGAAAAAATACCATTTCTTATGACACAGACGCAATCATGTCAAATAAGTGTTGGATCGATTGTTAAAAAAAGGCCACTCACAACAATTGAGCAACTATATTCAAGTTAACAAACAATTGTTAAATAACTATACTTGAGCATTATATGCATCCGGATCCGTGGCGCAATGGTAGCGCGTCTGACTCCAGATCAGAAGGTTGCGTGTTCGATTCACGTCGGGTTCAAATCCCCGAACATATCATCCGGAAACCTTTTTAAAAAAGAATCTTAAATTTGTCCTTGACTTTTGCTGCGTTTCATCCGGTTCCACTCTTTGGTTCGATAGTCTAATTAATCGGTTCAATCCACTCTTTAACGGCGTAATCCACTTTTATTTGTCGATGACTAATTACAATTTTCTTTGATAAAGATTTCATCATAATTTTCTGTCATCTGCTTGATCATAATCAATAGGAAAATGTTAATATAAGAGGCTAGATGAAATGCCAGAGGATTCATGTCACGCTAATCAAGTAAGATATGGAGTAGATATTATAAAGAAAACATTTACAGGAAAATACTTCCTTAACGGGAAAAGAAAATTTTACCTTCGATACTCACTAACCCGCGCGCTGGTGTTAGTTGTTCTGAAGCTGTTATTTCATCTTCCACCTCCCTCTGCCTCCTGTAGTTGTAGACATCCTCTCCACCCAATGTCACATACAGCTCCTACCACACATTGTCAACCCTAACAGCCATGAACACAGCCACGTCTTCGTCCTCATTTATTTCGATGGGTGGTGCTGAGTAGTCCTCAGGCTCTTTTTCAAGGTCTGGGTAGTGGTAAGTCAGCAGCACAGGGGCGTTGACTCCATACAGTGGGTCTACGTTGAACTTCTCCCTCACCATACCAACAAGTGAGATGAAACTCNTAACAGCCATGAACACAGCCACGTCTTCGTCCTCATTTATTTCGATGGGTGGTGCTGAGTAGTCCTCAGGCTCTTTTTCAAGGTCTGGGTAGTGGTAAGTCAGCAGCACAGGGGCGTTGACTCCATACAGTGGGTCTACGTTGAACTTCTCCCTCACCATACCAACAAGTGAGATGAAACTCTCGTTCTCCTTAAGCTCGACGTCAGCTCTTATCATGGTTTTATCCACGTTGAACCTCCATGCGCCTTGAGCGCCTCGTTCCCAGTCTCCAACAACAACACGAACTTGGTGCCTCATCTTCCAAACCTGTTACGGTGTAACATTACAATTATCAGTAACTCGAAAAATTTAAGGATATCGAACAACCTTTCCTACGTGGGATATATAGACAAAGCTCACAACTTACACTACGAGAAAAAACGATTTCTGTCTCTTGAGTTTATCTTCTACAAACACCAAATCACAGCTTTCGTTCTCCCTCTTTCTCCCACACTTTTTTTTGGTTTTGAAAACTAAACTTTTACCCAACTCAACCTTCTTTTATCTTCAAATTATTATGGTATTACGTACACTTAACTTTTCCAAGGTAGCTTAGGATGTTGCGCTTAAACAGAAATCACGGATAACCGAGGAAACGTGTTTTAATTGCACACAAGTCGTCCTAGGTTTCAGAGTAGGGTAGGCAGCTATTAGAATCGGCGTGGATATCTTGTGTCAGTCGACTGACACAAGCGCCGAAGACCAAATCCTTTCTGCGAGGTTAGTTCTGTCTTTTTGCCATCGTCAGGGTATCTCTCGGGCCCTATATGTCAATCAGTGGATGCTTCACCAATTTGGGCCTCTATTTGGGGCAATACACTAAATCACTCTATTATAAACTTTTTTTTAATTTATACCCATAAGTAGATATGGAGTAGATATGGAGGATTCTTGATCTGTCATGTAATACCCATAAGTTATTTAACAGAGACGTAGTGAAAAATGAAAATACGAAACTATAGTACAAAGATTTTGAGCCAGTTAGTGATGTCACCACTCACCATTTTTTCTGAAAATGTAATCAAATATTTGGCATATGTAAACTTGAACAGTTAATAACTTTGATCAATATTTAAAAACATGAACTAGCGATTAGGTAATAAAGTATTAATGAGATAAATAAGTGGCATTCAAATATAGTAGTAATACAAATAAATAATTTTAGCGTATGGAGTAAATGTTGTTAGCAAGTCGCTGTCCTTGTAGTGGAGAGTTGAGTTACTCAAACTAGTAAACTGCACTCCTTTTTACGTGTCTCCAGACTCACAAAACACAGATCCTATTTTCAGTATTATGAAGAAGAAAAATACAAGTTATAATGATGCATGTGCATCTTTCTCAATTATTTCAAAGTTAATGGAGAACAGGTCTTTAGAATAAATGGTCTGATCACTCTTCAGATCACACTCTCTCTCTCAATTTTGCACATTAACACACACAGAGAAATAAAGAGTTTGAAGAAAGAAGGAGAAAGGGAGAGAGAGAGAGATGGGGACTAACAGTGGCTTTGGTATGATAATGGAAGAAAAAGACAACCCAGGATTCATCAAAGTTCTTATAAAGGAAGATCTATCATCTGAAACAATGGTATGTGTGATCTCATCTTCTTTCTACAACTTATTTTCTTTCCAACTGTGTTCTGTTTTGTGTTGATGGATCTGTGAGGGTAATAATCTGATAAAATCATAAGGTTGAAACTTTAGGCTCAAGATGCTTAGTGGATGTGTAGAATGCAAATCTTTGTTTGCTTTTTTTTTTTTTCCAATCATTTATTGACAGATCTTGTTCTTAATTATGATATGTCCAAAGAGAGGGATCCCTCAAGACTTCTTGAAAAGCATCTCAGCTCAGGAGTTTTCCTTCAAGATGGTCTTAAAGTTGCCATGGGGAAGCTCATGGAGAATCAAGCTCTCAAAATACCAAAGCTACTACTACATGGAGAAAAACGGATGGGAGCAGTTTTTGAGAGACAATGCTTTAGGTGATAACGAGCTTTTAACATTCACGCACAAGGGTAACATGTGTTTTAACGTAACCATCTACCAAATAAATTGCCTTGAGATGCTTAGACCTACAAAATCTGCAACCATTGCTTCTTCAAGTAAGTTCTCATGTTTTTGTAAGGCTTATGGAGAAGAAGACAGACTTTAGTTTTCTGGTTGTTGTTTTTTTTTTTGATGAATCAGGGAACAATGTGAAGAAGGAAGAGAGAGAGTCTTTGTCTGCATCAAGCTATTCTATCTCAGAAACTGCTGAATCTACAGTAGGAGGAAGATTGAAACAGAAACGTGAGCTTAACTTGGGAAAGAAGAAAGTCAAAGAAGCTGAAAAATCAAAGAAATGTAAGAAGAGGAAGGTGGATACTGACTCTAAAGCTGGCACTTCGTCTCTTGTTCCAGAGTTTACACTCACCATAAAGAAATCATACGTTCTGTTCTTGGTAAGAGAAGCACCACAAGACAAGAGTAAGATTGTGAATGTTGAGTTTTGTGCACAGAGACTAATCAAATGTTTTGATATGTGATCAGGGTGTCCCGAAGAAGTTTGCGGATATGCATATGCCGAAGAAGGAAACGTTGTTCAAGATTCATGATTCAAAAGGGAAGAAGTCATGGGAGGTTACGTATGTGGTCTCTAAAATACAGTCAAGATTCTCTCGTGGATGGCCTCGTCTGGTTAAGGATTTGGGTTTAGAGGTCGGTTATGTTTGCACCTTCGAGCTCATTAAACCGAACGAGATGATTCTCAGTGTGTCCAAGACTCCAACTCCATGTAGATGAGACTGATCTTAGTTAAACCGAATCTTTATGTTGTGTTAGTCTGTTATTCATAAATTTCCAATCTTCCGGTTCGGAATTACAATTAATCTTAACCGAGAATTTTAATTTCCGGTTTATAATTTTTCTCTTTTCGGCTTACAGTTGACCTTGATGTTAACTGGATTAGTTTGGATCTGATTTAGTTTAGATGGGTTACTGACTATTAGTGTTGCCAGTAGAATTCAGTTAATGAACCATTTAGATTAAGCTATAATAGAAGCAGAAACATATTAATCTCATTTGATAGATGTTTGTATGGTGTCTCCTCTTTGTGATTCTATTGTTGAGCACTGTACTTCAGGTTCAGGACCTTACTTCAATCCATTAAATCGAGTCCACGGGCCACCGGATTAGGAAGAACGACATGCTGGGTAACATTCTTGCAGTATCAGACGGTATACATTTTTTTGTGAAATAAATATGCTTTCCTGATGCAAGCATAAACATAAAATGTATGTACAAAACAAAGATTATTGATTACTGCGATTTAGATAGTCTCAGAGATTAAAGAGTATAAGTTATATTTCTTTTCACTAGAAAATACAGTTTTTGGCTCAAAACTCGATCAGATCTTGATGCTGTTTATTTCTCCCAATCTTTCATCTTCTTGCTCCCCTTTGGTTTTTCAATAGGAGCATTCATGCCCGCCATTTTTTGTTGTACTTTTCACGTAGAGGATCATTAGAAGTCCACCTGCACCATCATTCATCATGCGCAAAAATACTAATAATTCAAATTATGTTAGCTCCATTAGCAAATAAAAAGACATAAGATTCTCCCTAACATATAATCCTGTTCACATTTGCTTCCAATGATCCAGTTCAGTTCTCTGCCTAATGTTTCTACTCAAAATTCTAAATAAGGCAGTCTTCAGAAGCCTAGATGAGAGCTATATCTTTTGTTCATATCAAAAGCCTATGACTAATCATATATGTAACACGAGTAACGCTGAAAGTAGAAAGCTTACTGGTTACTCCAATCTGTTGTATTAAACATGTAATATTCTCCTAATCTCTAGCTAATTAATAACTCGTTTGACTAAACCAGTTTCATACCAGTGGAGAGATTAAAATCCCACATATGATCTTAATATTTTCGCATCTTTGTATAGCTATGATATAATACAATTGCAATAGCATACCATCTCAAGAGATACGAATTTCATGTATAGATATCATCCATTGTGATCAACTGAGAGACATTAAGTGTTCTACATTTTCATTCGTAACATTTGGTTTTGCTGAAATATGTATCTTTTGTTTTTTTGTATTTTCTAGGTTTGATGTGTGAAAAGCTTTAGTGAATATTTCAGGTTTGATGTTTGAAATGATGGGATAAAAGAGTCCTTTGCCATACTGCTTTTGTACAAGAAATGCTCAGGTTAAATTGTTTTGAATCCCTTAAATTCTTGTTTTGGGAAAAACAACTAGCTGTTACAATAGAGTTACAGGAGGAGCCTCATCTAGAAGAAGATTACATGATGACCATCAATAGGAATCAACAAGCAGTAAGAAAAGCATTTCTATTTGTGGTCGATGATATGTTCTTAAAGTTTTTGTTTGTTTATGCAGCTAGCAACCTAGCTAGAGGCAATCATGAGAATGATGGCTTGAATGAAATTTATGGATTCCACCGAGAAGTTTGCAAAAATTTGGGCAGAGATTCGTTGAGCTTTTTCTCACGAGCCTTCTGTTTTTTTTTCCTTTGGTGCATGCCATCAACGACAAAATCTTTGTTGTGCATAGTGGACTCTACAGCAAGGATGGAGTGACTCCGTCTGATATCATAGACATCTATAGGTTTTTGTTAGCCATCTCACGAAAATAAATTTATGGCATATTCCTTTTTTACCAAGATTTATTCTTTTTTTATAAAGATATTCTCTACATTTGCTTGAATAAACTTGATGTGTAAGCTCTTCTGGTCCGATCCACAGCCAGCTCTTGGAAGGCCCTAGCAAACGAGGCTGTAAAATTTAGTTTGGCCAAGATGTGACTCAAAAATTCCTCAAAGAAAATAAGTTGGATTTGGTAGTGAGATCTCACGAAGTCATGGACTAAGGTTTTGAGATTATGCACAACCGGCAACTCATTACGGTCTTCTCGACTCCCAATTATTGTGATCAGGTAAAAGTTCTCTCTCTGGTTCAAGTAAGTCTGCCTCATCTCTCTGTTATAAAACCAAACTATTATGTTGTGTTAGAGTCTGACTGGTTTTCCCGCTATCACCCGTAAATGTAGTTTTTGCGGTTGGTAGTGGTTGTTGGTGTTTTGCAACAATCATTCAAAACGCTTTGATTCGTTTTAAACTGCTCTAAACCTTTTAAATTCAAAAGCTGATTCTAATTAGCATTTGCGATTGCGAGAGGGAAATTTTTTTTGTTTTTTTAAACAATATAAATACAAAAATAAAAAGATTCAATAATTTTTTAAATTGGAATTATAAAAATACTAAAATATATCTATTATATTTTAATTAATATTATAAAAAATTAAAAAAATATTTTCAATAATTTTATAAAATTTAAACTATATCGTTATAAGTAGAGTTTCTATATTTATTATAATATTATAATTTTTGGTATTTATAATTATACAAAATGTAAATATTATTAATTTATATTTTAACCGCTACTGTATTTGGTAATTAACAAATCATAAATATTCCGTAAATGCACCAATTTGTAATCGCAGTACCGGTCGTACAAATCTCTTAAAACCATAAGAAATCGCAATCATCTGCATCTGCATCTGCAAACTTCCACAACCGCAAACCGCAACCAGTGCGTTTAAACCAGTCAGACCTTATTCAATTGTTTCTTGTCTCCGGTTCGGAATCATAATTAATCTTACCCGAGAATTTTAATTTCCGGTTTGATTCGGTCTATGATTTATTTATCTTCTCGACCACACTTAAAACAGTACACCTTTCAATTTAACCCGATCAACAACTTTCACATCAATTTCCAAACACACAGACAGAACCGATGGGAACTCCTAATCTGAGAGCGGTGGCTCTTATCGCCGGCGATAAAAACGTCCGAGGATGTATTCAATTCATACAAGACACTTCCGGTGATCTGTCTTTTCTCCTTTTATCGACCGTCAGACATGTTTTATTACATTCTTTTTTTTTTGTATTGATTTTGTTTTTGTGTGGCAGGGACTACTCATGTAACAGGAAAGATCTCAGGACTGTCTCCAGGCTTCCATGGCTTTCATATTCACTCTTTTGGTGATACTACAAATGGATGCAACTCTACTGGTTTGTTTCTTCACTTATTGGTCTATCGTACAGTGTACTTCGAGCTCAAGACTAAGTCCTTGACCGTTTCACTTAAAGAATCTTATGGTTCTGTATCTGAACACAAACATACATGTGAAAAATAGTTATTTTGATTGACTTTGATGTTAATTGGATTGGTTTGGATCAGATTTAGTTTAGATAGACTATTAGTGTTACCAGTACTGTATAATTTAATTCACTCAAAGTAGCCATTTCGATAAAGCTATAATAGAATTAGAAGCTGAAACATATTACATCTTATTTATAGATGTTGGAATGGTGTTTTCCTCTTTGTGATTCAATTTGTTGAGTTATGTACTTCAGGACCTCACTTCAATCCATTAAATCGAGTTCATGGTTCACCGGATGGGGAAGAGCGTCATGCTGGAGATTTGGGTAACATTTTTGCTGGATCAGACGGTATACACTTTTTTTTTTCCTTCTTCTATATATTTGTTTTGTGCTTTTTGAAGAATGATTGTAGTGTTTCTTTGGGTGAGAATTGTTTTTTTCAGGTGTTGCTGAAATCTCAATCAAAGACAAACAGGTAAACGTATCTTCTTGTTTCACTTCTTCAACCATTTAATGTAACAGTACATATTATCACATTGTGCATGTCTATTGACATTTTCCCATTTATCTCGGCTTCTGTATAATTTCACAGATACCACTTAGTGGGCAGTATTCCATACTTGGGAGGGCTGTTGTTGTGCATGGTGATCCCGATGACCTTGGCAGAGGTAGGAACTTCTTTATAGCCTTTAAAATAAATATATATTGTCCAATGTCACTTACTTTATACAAAGAAGCAGTAGAAGTTTAAGGGTCACATCTCAATAGTAATAATCAAATCTTAAGTTCATGTTGTACTCTGTTGATGATGTTATTGAAAAGAGTCATAATCTCTTTGCGGTTGTTACCGTGTAGGGGGACACAAGCTTAGCAAATCAACAGGAAACGCAGGCGCACGAGTTGGATGCGGTATATTGCTTACTAACATTTTGAGAAAACAGAGCATCACCAGTTTGTCTTTCCTTTTTCCCAGTGTGTGAAGTAACTAACTATAGGTTTTGATGTTGAACCAGGTATTATCGGACTTCAATCAGCTGTGGATCCTAAACTTTAGCAAATCAATGAGCTTTCCACGCTAGAGACACACTCAGTTTTTCATGTGTATATGTACATCAGAGGACCATAGCAAGAAGTGAAGTTGTATATTGACATACTTTTTTGAGACGCAAGTTATAATAATGTAAAACTAGTACGTAAGCTCAAGTTTTCTTTGAATCATTATAGTTTCAAACAAGAATGCAAACCATTGAAGGTAACAATATCAATAACAAGAAAACGATAGAATACACAGAAGCAGCCAGGATTTCGTTTGCTGAGATCATAATCCATCTGACACAATGTGCTATCGTAAACATGGTTCAGTTATTTATCTTCCCAGGTTTGCAGGAGAGCTTCCAAAATCTTTCCCCACATCACGAGATACAATGGTCTACTTTGAACCTCTATCCTCTCCATGTGTTCCTGTAGGAAGAATTGTCACGAAGATAAGCATCGTGGGGCTTGTACTCCATGACATATGCATGAGGCAGCTTCAAGTGCCGCTTGATTGAGTCTCTCAAACCCATTACTGCCTGTTCACCGGCTGTGTAAGTACCAAGCAAAAGAAAGGGAGGGAGCGAGAGATTTTGTGAATAGTATACTCACCTGATGATCAGAAGCATTGCGATTCCATACACTAATGATGTCTTCATTGAAGCGGACACTCAGTACTGCCCCACAGATGTTATCCGCATCATCAAGCTGGTCGCCTACCAACGCAAGAAGCTGAAGAAAAACAAATAAACATGATTTCCAGATGATACTGAAAAAAACTGCGACTCTAAGAAAGGATGGACAATAAAGAACACTCATAAAACAGTTCCTTTTGACAGAGGTAGAAGGGTGTCAATACTTAACAGAAGTACCCACAAGAAAAAAAACACAAACTAACCAGATCCTCCCAGAAGCGAGCAGAAACAACTTTGGAGAAACGTATGATCCACTTTCCACCATTGCAGTTGGCACCATCCTGATTGAAATTGAATTTTAGCTACTTTAGTTGTATCAAAAGAGTTTGCTATATCGAAATGATCCACATACGAACAACATACACAAAGACAACTGAGTTAAAAATCAATAAACGGAGATAAGTACCTCCCACAAGGGGCGAATCCCATCCTTAAAGAAATGAAGATCTGTAGGACTAGGCAATAGAGAAGAACGAGCAAGATGACAATAGCATGCCCAAAACCCTTCAACCTAGGTGGAACCAAGCCATACCTCATAAGTAAACAAAGATAAGACTGCAAACAGCTTTCAAGAATGAACTTCCCATTAGTATTATTTGAGCTTACCGTGCTAAATTCAACAATCTTCTTGATGATATCCTCGTAAGATGTCTGGTTCCTAACCCCTGGTGTGCGACGGGTGTACCAAATCGCAAACTTGTACTGCAAAGTTGCAAAAAATAGAAAAAAACGTGGAGCTACTGAGTCAGTGCATAACACATAATGTTCTACTAGTAGGCAATGATGCCGTGTTCTCTCAAGATTACTCTTGAACTTTTCTCACAGTTACATGAGCTTAATATTAAATCCCCCAAAACAATTAGTTTCCACAAATACTAATGTCTCACTAGAGAACACGATTACATAACATTTGAGCTCATAGACATATAACAAAGCCGCAAAGAACCTAAATTTCAGAAGAAAACTTCCAAAATTTTAAAATTCTTAGAATCCGAATCTTAACTACCTCGGCTCTAAACATAAAGTTTCAACCTTTCAGCTAAGATCAGATTTTTGAAATTGAAAAGCAATCAATGTAAAGAATAGAGAGGACAAACCTGTAGAGGATGGAGACCAGCTTTGAGGTCGCGAGAGTAGCGTTCATCGGAAACATACTGCGACTTAATATTGTTCGATTCTCTGATCTCATCGTCCCTCCTCTCAGTAATCTCCATTGTTTTTTTTTTTTTGCTACTTGTGGATTTCAGCTTCAGGCGTTGTCGGGGATTCAAAGGCGAGAGGAGAAGAAACTCTTTTGACGACTTTCTCTCCTGTGAAATATATAAAAGGTCAAAACCTGGAGAAAACTTGCCAATGGGCCTTGTTGAATCTAGCTAATGGGCCTTGATTAGCTTTCTTGCTTGGGTCATATTCGGCCACGGCGTTTTGGGTATCGGTTTCGATTCGGTTCAGGTATTTCGGGTAGTTCAGATAGGAGGTTAGAGGATACATTTACTACTTGACATATTTTCGGTTCGGCTCTGTTTGGTTCGGATAGTTTCGGGTTCGGTTTGGTTCAGTTCGGTTCTGATAGTAAAACTAGAAATCATAAAATATCTAGAGAAATCGGTTATCATTTAATTCAGGTTAGGGTTCGGGGAGTTTGGGTAAATTATCAGTTATTTAGGATAAAGTATCAAATAATTAGAATGATTTAGATACAAATTTTAGATATTTCGGAGTATTTTGGATATTTTGATAAAATTATCCATATACTTTCAGGTAATTCAGATACTTTATAATTATTTAGTTATCTTCAACTGTTTTGGGATAATTCAAAAAAAAAATTAAAATTAAAATCATATATTTAGTTATGTTATATGTACATAAAATTAGTATTATTATATATTTGGATATCCATTCGATTTTCGGTTCAGTTATTTCAGATATATAAATATAAGAAGCGTTTAGATATTTAGAGGTTGATTGTTTTGGGTTTTTAGATTAGTTTTTGGTTTCTGTTTTTCCAAAAACCATTTTTCTTCCATTCAAGTTTTTTACAAAGTGATTTTCCTAAAATTTAGGAAAACTAATTTTTTAAAAAAAACTGTATTTCTAAACAAAAACCAAAAACCAACTTTTTCTAGTTTTTGGCTTATCAAAGGCTTTTACATTTATTTTTATTCAAAGGAAAAAACATTATTATCCAACCTACGTAAGCTTTTGCAATTAACCAACACACATATCAATTGACCGCATGACCACATATAGCTAAGGCATGTTACATATTAATCAACCTAGTAAGTTTTTTTACATCTATGCTACCAAAACAAAGCTTTATTGTGCAAAAAAATGGTTAAAATGTTATTATTATCTAATAATAAAATAATGTGAACTACAAATAACTCATATAAAATTTAAACGTATCAATAAAAAACATTAATAATTTGAAGTTAGTCATACAAAAATAATATATATCCATATATATTATTAATAAATTTCATGGCACTATATGAAAGGTATTTGAGATCAAATTTTTATATCCATATGAGATTTACGATTGTTTTATTTTGTATTTGCAGTTTTATTTTAAGCTAATGTTATTAAATAAGTCTATTTGTGCTTTTGATGATAGTATTTTATATATTTTATTTTTTCAGAACTTTTTTACTGTTAATATTTTTTAATTAATTTCAAAAACAAAAACCAAAAATTAAAATCTAAAACAACCATTCATGCTTTTAAAAAAAACTAAAATCTACTACAAAATCAAAAACTAAAAACTAAAAGCCAGAATCTAAAAACCAAAAACCAAAAACCAAAAACCAAAATCTAAAAACTAACAAAACAATCATCACCTTAAAGGTTTTTGTTTGATTCCGGTTTTAGATATTTCGGTTCAGTAGTTTCTGTTCGGTTCTTCGGTTTCAGTTTTTTTATCAGGCCTAGGTCAGATCGTTAAGTCTTTATTATTCTATAAAGATTAACAAAACAAATTTATGGTTGATCAAGAGAGGGACAGAAATTTAGTGCAGTTCTAAGTTCGGTAATAAAACCATATAAAATGGAGTATAAATTAATTAAATAAATCCACCAATGGCGCGAGAATAAGTGGTGGAGAGAGAGAGAGAGAGAGAGAGAGAGAGAAAAGGAAAGGAAAGGGGGAGATGTCAACGTAGGGTAATAGATATTTGGCGGTGGTCTGCCTGTCCGTCTGTCATTTCTGCAAAAACAAGTGACACAAACTTTATTGACATTTCACACGCTTTTCCCCCTAATTTAACAAACATTTTTTTATTTTATTTTTGTGTCCTCTTTATCAAGTTCTTGGTTCTTGATTTCAGCCTTTGTGTGCTTTTCCCCTCTAAATCTGATGCGATTTTACCCTTAATCGTTGATCCTTAAGATAGTTTCCAGCGAATTTGATCTCTCTCTCTCTCTCTCTCTCTCTCTCTCTCTCTCTCTCTCTCTCTCTCTCTCTCTCTCTCTCTTGCCGTAGATCTAAGTTTCTTTCTTTTAATTTGTCGTTCCTTTTCAACGGAATTTAATGAGTTTCCGGATCTCCATAATCATCCTCCTCCTTCTCTGTGGGTCATGCTTACCTTCTTCCGGCTTCGCTTCCTCCGTTGACGTTTGCGATCATCATGACGAATTGGAGGTGTTACGATGCGCAATCGAGAATAAATGTCATCGCTCTCTCTATCCCAGACCTCCTATAGAGGTACCTAATAAATTAGCCTAGCTTTCTCCTTTTATGATCAAGTTTCCAATGGTGGTTTTGTTACAATAACGATTGTGATTTCCGATCGAATTTGCTTTCTGTTTGATATGTCTTGTGTTCTGCTCCAAGTAGAATAAGGCTGCTGCTTAGGCTTAGCTGATGATGTCTCTTGGTCTAATGTGAATTGCTATTTCCCTTTCGTTTTCAGTTAATATTATTTCCTTGATCAGAACATCTACTATCATGTATATGTGATATGTCATGGTCACACTGTACTACTGTTTCTTGAATATTATAGGATCTATTTTATCTCAACACTGCTGCTATACCACAATTTCTTCTCTTCTATACATGCATTTCTTTGTCGCCTTTTAATTGAGCTTTACCAACAGAATCTCATTTGCGCATTATTAGGTTCAGAGTGTAATGTTTAGATGCAGCAAATGTGATATAAGCCAAATTAGTATATGTCTGTGGGTGCGCTTCTTCTCCCTATTGTATGGACTTGGATGTGGGCTTGTTTTTTTTGTATTTCTCAAACAAATATCTATATTTGTTTTTTGTTTTGCTAATGCAGGTGGATGGAGACTTGCTAGACAGACTCATGGATGCAAACCATGGAAATGCTTATACTTCCATACTGTTTTATGCCTCTCGGTGCCCGTTTTCGCGTGCTGTTCGCCCCAAGTTTGATGTTCTGAGCTCAATGTTCCCCCACATTGAGCACCTGGTTGTTGAGCAATCTCAGGCTTTACCATCGTAAGAACTTCCTTCTGCTATAGTATATGTCTACAGGAGTTCTCAATTGCATCTCTGATTGAACAAGAAGTTTTCATCTTAATTCCTTTTTAGCATCGTCTTTGGTCTACGTTAATTGACCTTTACGGTTTTCACAATTGCAGTGTCTTTTCTAGGTATGGTATCCATAGCTTGCCTTCAATCCTGATGGTGAATCAAACATTGAGGATGCGTTACCTTGGTCAAAAGGATCTTGCATCCCTTATTCAGTTTTACCAACATACAACAGGTGAGAGTTCTTCTCCTGCGTCTCTGTTTTCATTAGCATGCAACTTCACTTGAACAAACATGAATACCAACCTGGAAAAACAATCAGTTTAACTTCTGTTATAATAAGGTCCACTCGCTGTATCTCTGTGGCTTTCCAGGTTTTAAACCGGTCCAGTACGTGGATGAAGGTGAACCAACAAGCTTGGAAACCGATGGTAACCTGATCACATGGCTACACAACGGGTCATCTATAAGAGAAATCACGGAAAGAGATCCATATTTGGTACTTGCACTGATCTTTCTGTCTTTGAAACTGGGAATTCTGATCTTCCCCATCATGGCAGCGCGCTTGAAAACGTTATGGGCATCTTATGCTCCGCATCTGAGCTTGGGAATACTCGGTGAGACTAGCCAACTGTTTGGCCGAGCCATGCACATGATCGATGTGAGGAGGCTGTGGATTAAAGTTAGACTCACCAAAACAAGGAACTTCCAAGAAAGAGCAAAGAACGCACTTGCATCGGTCTCGCTAGGAAAATCTACTTCACAATCAGCCTAATTCAGAAATCCTCCATGAGCTTAGTTAGATTACTTTACTTTTTGTTGACATGTCTTAACTTTGGACTTCTTGTCTCTGTATGTAAATCATGTTTTTGCTTATTTGTGAATATACATTTTTCTTCGTTTCTTGAATATTCTTGTTCTGGGTCCATTTTGTTGTGCTTATATTGAATGATCAACGGTTTGGTTTAGTTGGTGCCAGAGGTGGACACATGGGTCGTATATGTGAGAAAGGAACTTGTGGATCACTATGGTTCACACACGTAGAAGTTTCGCTTTCCTGTCGTTTTTGCGTATGTGTATGGTAGTTGAATCTCTCTGTTTAGATCCTTTTCACTTAGGAATCTTAAGCTGAGAAGCTTATACCAATGTGATTATATATCCTCCTTTATTCAACAATATACAACCTGAATCTATTTTGTGATGGTTCAAGAATAAGCTTTTTTATTAAGATTAAAGTTAATTTCAGATGTAGACTGACATAGTTAAAGCCTAAAATCAAGGCAGCAAACTCATGATTCTCCCATGTTTATGAAGTAGGCAACAAAAGCAGAACAAAGAGGTGAAGCAAAAAAAAAAAGGTAAAACAAAGCAGAAACAAATGAAGCTGGAAAAAGCTAAACGTTAGGAATAATGTTTTGTAAATTTATGGTTTTTCTCAATTGAATTTTTAATGCTAAAATCTTCAAATAAGCTTTTGATTCTGATAAAAAACTTTAAATTAAAGGTTTAAAATCATAGGTTTTAAATAATTCAGTGGAAAATTTTAGCATGCTTTAATAGTATAGATTTAATGGTAACATTACTTATTTTACTGATAATATATAGTTTATTTGTTATTTATAAGTTTTTACCAAACTAAACTGAGAAGTTTTAGCATTAAAAATCATTTTCAGCTTTTTTTTTTGCTAAAATTTTTTTCCAAACTAGATACCGAAGCGAGCAAGAACACTGCCAGAGCATCATCATGTAGCTCATCTATAACGGTTTTCGGTCTCGGACGATGGAAAATTCACATGTTAAATTTTTAGTGGCCGAGTTTCGAATCCAGATGACGGAACTCACAACCGTAAACCCTTTACCACCTGCGCTAGAAGCCTCGGTTATCATTTTCAGCTTGATTTTGTATATTAGCATTTTTGTGATGAGTTTATAGATTCAAAGTACTTTTTCAAGAATAAGGTTGTTATTTACTGGCTATGTGAAGAAAAGCTTTGCTCAGGATTTTCAAACATCTCTTATTTTCTCAATTATAAAGTTCTTATCAGAATAGTGTGAAAAGTATAATAAGAAAATGGAATCACTGTAATCGTCTTAAATGACTTCCACTTTCGCTTTCTTGTTTTAAATGGAAACTTCGTGGCTTTTTTTCTCGAACTACACTTGTAATGGCAAGCAAGCAACCTCCACTAATACCCTTTTTCTTTCTCTCCCTCGAAAAGGACTTAAAATTTGTGATTTGTACTACACAATATCTCTCTTGCCTTTCTTATTTCAAATTGTTTGTTAACTACAAAAAAAGTTTGTTAATTTACTTGAATTTAAGAAATGCATTCCAAATATGAAAAAAATATTCATATGGTGGTACCAAGTTTATGCTTGAAGTCTCGTTCTCTCTAGCTCTCTTGGTCTATAGAAAGATCTTCAACATCAATAGTTTTTTTGTATAAGAAAACTAAATATTCATATAGAAACCTACGCCTAATCCAGAACAAACTAAATAACCAAACTACTATCCAGTTTCCATTAGTAGAACTTAGTAGGAAAGATTCTTCATAAGTATCATTTAGTATAACATACTTTCAAATATTATTAGAACCAATGTTTATGAGAAATAAAATATCAAAGAGAGAAATGATTTTCGCAAAGAAGACAATCAGTACTTCTTATTGTAGGTCCAAAATATAGTAACATCTTCCTTTGTCACTTCATGATGTAGTCATGTAGATAAGCTCTAGAAGATTTATCTCACCGCCCACAGCTAAAATATACATTAATGTAGGATTCTTCATAAGTAATTTATAGTTTCACCAATCTTAAACATAGGGTTTTTTCTAGACTTTGCAAGTTATCATATGTTTTAAACTTTTAAGTTTTAACTAATACCGCTGGTTGTGGATGTTTAAGCAAAATACATTGTTTACTAAAGATATCGTCGTATTATCTATCAAATACTAATTGTTAGTTTGATAGAAAGATTTGACCAGCTATGTTTAAACTGTTCGAACAACACTAGCAAACAATGTTTAGCAAATAATATTTTTATATGAAATTATGTGACTGATCATGCAGATAATCTATCAGAACATTAATTTCTTTTTGTTAGAAACTTTTATTTTTATAAAATATTTAACATTCTATAATTGGGAGAAAAACTAGAATGACTCAAATTAATGGTGTAATTACTAGAATGACTCATATTTTTTTCAGAATTATTAAAATGTTTTCCTGGTCAAAATTGCCCTTGTCTATAGTTATAGGAAAAAAAAAATTTTAATTTTTTTTTTTCGTCGGCAGATTTATTTAAATCTATCGCACGACAGAGTTTTTAAATATGTCTATCGAATGACAGAATAGATTTGTCTATATTTTGCTCGATTTGTAAAGAAAATCGATTTTTTAAATATGTCTGTCGGATGACACAACAGATTTGTAAGAAACCACAGATTTTTGCGATCGATTTATTATCTAATGGCAGACTTGTCGAACTACGACCGATTTGTAACAAAAATCGATTCTTATTACGGTAGACTTAAAGTAAATCTACCACCGATTTACACATGCTGCAGATTTGTTGAATTACGACGCGGCCGACTTGTTAGTTTACGTTGTGACAGATTTGTTTATTTAATTCTCGGTTTAGGTAACCAATCTAAATTAAATTCGTATTGAATTCTGGTTTAGTTCAAGTAATCCGAAATTCAATTAATTCTAGCTGGTATGGGCGAAATTTGGTTTAATTAGATTTTGGTTTATTTCAAGTGGTTTAAGACCACAATTAGGTCTAATTTTTTTGTCGTAACTGTCGTCATCTTTTTCATCTCTATTTTCTTCTCTACCACGTTGTCTCTTTCATGGTGGTTTGAACTTTGCTTCAATCCTTTTTGCTTACAGAACCATGGATCACATCATTCTCGTCTGTGGGAAGTGGAAAATCGATAGGAAGAAGTGGTTATTTGAAGTTGACAATGAGCAAGGTAGTAAATTACTCACAGCTAATGAGAAAACTACATATGAAGATTTTGTGAAGATCATACATGAGGATTACGAAGTGGATGCCGCAGATCATGAGTTGGAGCTGGCTTACCTTGTTCCAAAACGTAATCTCTTCAAGGAAAATATAGATACTCCTCCTGTGAAAGTAAGAAACGATAATCAATTTCAGAGATTTTTGTGTCTTCACAAAGTCGAGAACATCAGACTATGTGCAGAGTTTAAAGTGAAGAAAAACGATGTCGGAGAAGGTATAGACGATCCAGAAGAAACCGTAGAAAATGAAGACCCATTGGCTAGCGATTCAGAAGATATAGATGAAGAGGGTGATCGCTTTGATTACTGCGACGATTCTGATGGTGTAACATCTGATGACGAGAACTTTACGTCATATGGGGTTCCACCAGACAAAGAAGAAGAGGAGCAGGGATCTCCTACGAAGATGAGTCAACACAATGTTCAAAATACACAAGAGAGAGATTCTCCACAGGATAGGGTTGACTTGAGCTCTTTTAACTTTAGCGTGGGGCAAACTTTTGAATCAAAAGATGCACTGGAGACACGTCTGAAGATTTTTTCAGTTGTCAAAAAGTTTGATTTTGATGTGGTTAAATCTACACGTGAGTTGTTACGTGTGAAATGTTGGCTAAAAGGCTGTACGTGGACACTTAGAGCTTCACCAGTAGGGGAATCTACAAAGTTTACTGTTCGAGTTTATGAGGCTGAACATTCATGCTCCGTAACAGAGCGTTCGTCTCGTTCCCGACAAGCAACTCCTGAAATTCTTGGAGTCTTGTACAAAGACTATGTTGGTGGGGTTGAAAAGAGTGTTATGCCAAGTCATGTTTCTACTGCTATGTCCTTGAGCTTTGGAATCAAGGTAAATACTGTCGATTTTGGCTTCAAAATTACTGTATTGTTTGACCTTATTTGATATTAAATGTGTCGATGTCATTTGTATATTTCAGATGGAGTATTGGAAAGCTCGTCGTACACTTATGGTTGCTAGAGATCTTGTATTGGGTTCATCAGAGAGTGGATACCAAGAATTACCTGCTTACTTGCATAGGGTTAAATTGGCGAATCCTGGAACTGTAACAGCATTGGAAGTCGATGCAAACGATAGGTTCAAGTACTTATTCCTTGCTTTCAGTGCTAGCATTACCGGATTTCCATATATGAGGAAGGTTGTTGTGGTTGATGGTACTTTCTTGCAAGGAAAATATAAAGGAACGCTTCTCATTGCTACATCACAAGATGGAAATTTTCAAATATTTCCAATTGCATTTGCGGTAGTTGACACAGAGAATGATGAATCATGGACATGGTTTTTCCGGCAACTCAGCCGTGTGATACCCGATGATGAAGGCTTAGCATTGATTTCTGACAGACACAAATCAATAGGGAAGGCTATTGCTGTGGTCTATCCATTGGCTAGCAGGGGAATTTGCACTTACCACTTATATAAGAACATCTTGTTACGGTACAGAGGGCGTGATCTGTTTGGGTTAGTTAAAAAGGCCGCATACTCTTTTAGGGTTACAGACTTTCAAGAGACTTTCGAGACTATCAAAGAGTTAAATCCAGCTTTGCATGCATATTTGGAACGTGCTGATGTATGTAAGTGGGCACGAGCTCATTTTAGAGGTAATCGATACAACATTCTTACAAGTAACATAGTTGAATCCATAAACAGAGCTTTGTCAGATGTGAGAAGCTTGCCAATCGTTCGCCTTCTAGAGGCAATCCGATTAATGATGACACGTTGGTTTGCAACAAGAAAACATGATGCTGGCTTGATGAAAACCTCTCTCACTCGTGGTGTAGAGAAGTTGCTGGAGGTATTATACAGATATCTCGTTTATTCTTGGTGCGTAGAATACTTTTTCTAAATTCCAATCTCTTTTTGTAGGGCCGTATACCTATTGCTAATCTGTTAAAGGTTCAAGCGATTGACATACATCAGTCACAAGTGATGGGAGTCTCATCTTTACATGTTGTAAATCTGACTGAGAAGACATGCTCTTGCCGTAGATTTGATTTAGAGAAACTACCATGTGCTCATGCTATAGCTGCTGCGGAAGCTAGAAAGATATCACGCATATCACTTTGTCACCATTACTATCGGAAGCAGTACCTGTACAACGCCTATTTCAGTGCTGTTATGCCCAACAATGATGCTGTCCCAATTCCACAAGAAGTTGCGAATAAAGTATGTGCACCACCTGATGTCCGTCAACCACCTGGAAGACCGAAGAAATCTAGACATAAATCTATTTTGGAGAAAGTGGCAGAGAAGAAGCGACCACGAAAGGAACACTCATGTAGAATTTGTAACCTGACGGGACATAATTCTAAAACATGCCCTCTGAAGTGATCAGATATTCGATTACATTTGTTTTTGCTTTGGTCATTTGTCTTTTTATTTTAACGTCCAAGTTTCAGCTATTGGTTTTTGCTTTGGTCATTTGTCTTTGGAATTTACATTACATTTCAGATATTTGACGTTGGTGTTTATGTTACATTGGTTTTTCATTTGGTCATTTGTTTACATTACCTAAACTCCCTTGAATCTACATTATGCTCTTATTTTATCAATTTGTTTAGATTACATTTACCATATACATACAGAAACCAGGCAAGTTATCATCCATCCATGATCCAACCGAGTTTATATATACATACTAATAAAAAACCTGCCAACTAAAATATCCATCCAAGAAAAACCTGCAAACTGAAACATCCATCCGAGTACTACAACCAAGTTATCATCCCAAGTACCAGCCGAGAATTACACTAATAAAATCATCCAAATACGAATAGAAATCAAACACAGTAACCACTTCATTCTTCCGGAAACACCTCTCTGACCTCTTCAAAGATGTCCGCTGCCAACTTTAATCGCAGAGCCTGTATGATCTTATCAGATAAGCCGTCAAATGAACGTCCAAGAGCCATACATTCTATGTACTTCAGAGAGTACACACCACAATCTCCCGGGTTGTCGTTTGGAGGACACTTGTGCCTACGCATTGTGAACTGCTGCTCAGTCTTCTTTCGCTTTTTAACAGGGACCATCTTGTTAAGCACAAGTGGAAGCATTTTGGTGAATGCCCTGCACTCGTCACGCATACCACTTTCTGATGGCACCACACTCGGAATACTATCATAGACATGGACCGTTTTCTTCGGAAAATCAATGTGTAAGCCCACCCAGTGGTTTCCATTAATAAGGTGGCAGGTGAACAAGTTGTCGACATCCAGAAACCACTTTTTACCTGTAACAAACTGTTCCGGGTATTCGCCATTGAACGCCTTGCTGTACATATCTGACAACTCGATTGGTTTGCCCTCCTTCACCATTTTGTTGTAGTCATTAACCCAAGAGTTCACAAACCACCGATCAAGAAATGCTATCCGAGAGGAGGCATACGGAGATGTGGATAGCATGGACCGTCGGTGAAACATGAGTATTGCTGCGTACATGTGCTGCAAAACCCGAAACCATAGCTTAAAATCAGTAACCCATTAATCTTTGCATTAGGCCAAAACCAGAAAATTGGAAACACTCACCGTGTCACCCAGCCAGCCGTAAGTGGGGGTTGGCCAATCTTGCCTTGGTATCATTAGCTTTAAGTAAAACAGAGCACAATTGTCTCCGTAGCTAATTTCTTTTTGGTCCCTAATTAAAAAAAAAAAAACAGATCATTAAAAGACCACATCTCACGAAGAAGATAAGAAGGACTCAAGCAAACTTACAAATCTTGTTTGATGAAGTCCAAAACCTTCTGTAGTTTTCCCGGCTCGACTTTAGCTAATGGGTCATATGCCTTCTTCGAAACAGTGACATCACGTATTATACGCCTCACTGTTGAATTCCCAACGTACGGCCATACTTGAGTCTTTGTCAACTGCGGCTTACGTCGACCTCTGGGCTCCTCTATACTCGCATGTAGACCTTCCAAGATTTGCCTACACGTTTCAGTCTTCTCCCATTTCAGATGTTCTTCCCACTCTCGACTCGAAATAGATTCATCATTCAACGTCGGAATTGAAAACGCTTTCTTCTCCTTCTTCACAGTTTTCAGTGGCGTTTTATCCATCTCAAGATCCTCCTTCTTCATCGTCACTTCCTTCTTCTCCTTCTTCACTTTTTTTAGTGGCGCCTCCTTAGTCTTAGGCTCCTCCTTCTCCACCTTTATCTTTGCCTTCTTCTCCTTTTTAACAACACGCTGAATTGGCAAACCGTCATGTGAACTAATCTTCTTCTCAATCTTCCATGACTGAATAATTAAACAACTTCATCAGTTACTAATTTTTTTTTATAAAAAAACAGAGATCAAGATGGTGAGAGATCGTACCAACTCATTGCTAGAAGCATCATCATCAGCCTTGGGATTTCCAGAGTTGGAGGCGGCCACATCAGCCTTGTTTTTATAAAATTTCACATCTTCCTCCAAACTTGTGATTTTCTGCAGCAACTCAGCCCTCAAGGAACCTACTCTTGCGTCCACCTTATATTGTATGGTATCTTCTAAACTCTTACAAACTCTCTCAGCTACACTAACATCTATGCCTTCTATTTTTGCAGTAAGTTTGGAAATTAAGCCAAGTATAGTGGCGTTCTGATCTGCGAACTTCAACACCAAAAACGAAACAAGTCAGTAACAAATTTGGTGCTATCATCATTAAGTGAAGCAAATTTCTATACATACCCTATCTCTTTCGTCGCTGTTATGATCAGGTTCTTTTCCTTTATGTCGCTTTGGAGAAGGGCCCATATTAGGAATAACAGATGCGCCAACACCATATTTTCTCTTCTCGGGAGATTTGGTAGTTGAGGTTACATCCCAAAACTTCTCATTTAGCTGGCCATCGAGTATGTCTTTTATCAGGTTGTCCAGCTCAGGCTCGAATTCATCATTCGCCCACTTCGGATATATTTCTTCCACTGGCTTCATCACCATATGCCTGACGCGTACCTGAAAATTATATACAACATTAGCTAAGCACTCTTAACGTAAATCTACCACAGAACATAACCTGATTCTTCTTCCGTAGCGACCAATGAGTAAAACAAAAGTAAGCAAGCTCACAAGAAAACAATTTCTCAAATCACTTTAAGCAATCCGAAACAGTAGCCTAAAAGAGTGATGGTCGGATGGTCTAAATCTCTGATGCTTTAAAAATCCAAAAAATATTCAAATCATAAATCTCTCTCAATGGTGAAGAAATAAACAACAAAAAGAACAAGAAATCAGAAAAAAAATTTACCTTCTGATGCTGTGTTTTTTCCTGTACACAGAAATCTTCGAAGTTTATACGGGAACGAGATCCACCCCATGATAGAAGAGGAACATCAGCTCCCTCTATCCGATTCCCATATTTTTCTCCAATACCAGGGACGGATTCATAAATCCATATTAAAAGGACGTGAACACAACCTCGAATTGTGTAACTCTTGTCTGCTTGAAATGTGATCATTTTAATGGACTGAACAAGGCTGCTAAATCCAAGCCGACCCCATGGATAGCGCTGGAAAGCTGCCTTGTCCATCACTCTTTTAGCACAATGCAAAGGAATCCTGCTGTTGCTTGAGATGCCAAATATACCAATGCTTAGCAGCCCCAACAATCCGACCATCACTCGCTTGTCTCGAGACCAGTTTCTGCACTTCACCAATATTGCTTGTAACTCCTTCAATGTAGGTCCTTCTGATGGTGGAACATTCATCTCCCCCCAAAACTCTCGATGATCCACATCCCATACATCATGCTTGTCGAAAGCATCACAGTTTAGACCAGTAAACTCTGCAAACTCATACAAGGAGAACCGTATTGGCATACAATCTAACAAAGACCAAATCTCATGGAGGCTCGTGATGGCGAGTTGATTGGCAAGGAAATGATGAACAGCTTTCGCAGACCAAATATACTCCGTCTCCTTCAGCTTAACAATAACTCCAACAGCTGATTCTCTCAACTCAGACCAAACATCTTCCCCAACAGCTTCTTCAAACGCTTGAAGATTGACCAGAAAACAGCTATGGTTCATGCTCCTATTCTGAATGGGTGTTTTTCCAAGCTCATACAAACGTCGCGGATACTTTCTCGTAGTACCTGAAGAAGAAGCCATACCTAAAACATAAAAAGGGAATAAAAAATTAGTAATAGCATAACCAAAAGAAACACAATGGATCGAGTTATACATAAAGTTTGTAGATTCACAGTTTATTCAACATAAGAAACTTTGAAAAAAAAACAGAGCAAACCAAAACCCCAAAACTCTTGTTCAATATAATCCAGAAATACTAGAAATAAAGAATTTCTATAAGAAAAGTAGACCAAAAAATCGAAATTTCGAAAATTGGGAGAATTTGGGGAAAATTGGGATTTAGGGTTTTCGAAATATTACATGAAATTAAGCTATAATTAAGTTAGATTATACTAGAAACAACTTCAAAATAGGTGAAATTCGAAAATTGGGAGAATTTGGGGAAAATTGGGATTTAGGGTTTTCAAAATCAAACATGCAATTAAGCTATGATTAAGTTAGATTAGAGTAGAGACAACTTCGAATTAGATAGATTACTCACTTAGAGGACCGGATTTGCAGAGATGCGACGAAAGAGAAAGAGTGAGACCCGACGGAGACGCGACGGAAAGAGAGAGAGAGAGACCCGACGGCGGAGACGCGACGAAAGAGAGAGAGAGAGACCGGACGGAGACGCGACGGGAGATGATGTCGGAGTTATGGAAGAACCACGGCGATACTCGACGACGGGAATGGCCTTTGTCGTCTACGGGAGAAATGAGAGAGAGACCCGTAAGGAGTGATTTTTTGTGTCCAAATGTTTTTTATCTTTTGTTTAATCATTTTTTTAAGGAAATTGCCAATTTTTTTTTTTACTCTATTGAAAACTAGAAAAGGGTATATTTAGTCAATTTACATGTGCCAAATTAGGGTCTAGTATTTAAAAAATTTTATGAGTCATTCTAGTCTTTTGAAGATAAATTTGGGTCATTCTAAGTAATTCCTCTCTATAATTTTGTCTATACACTTTTTTTCTAGTGGCTTACACTAACTGCGTCAATCTCGCTTGTAAGTTATGTCACTCCAAATCATAAATCATCAAAACCATTTCGAAGTCTGAATATTCTTTTGGTCTCTTCTTCTTCTTTGCTCCCTATTAAAGGATCTAGAAACCCCTTCACAACAGTGAGATATCGAGAGAGAGAGATACAAGTCTCTCCTCAAGATCACTATTACCACAAAAGAGAAGTATTCATGGATCTAGAAGATTGGGAGTTACTCCCCAAGAATCTCTACAAGGGTCTCGATCTCGATCACGACGAGGATCATGAGGCAGCGATGAGGATCATCAGAAACACAGACAAAAGCTTTGACATGGATTACTTCATCTGTCCAACACAAGATCCTGTCGGAAAAACAGAGTTCCATAGAAGACCAAGCGTGGTCCCCACACAGCTTCTCCAAGTTCCCGTAAACTGGGAACCTGTGTACACGGTGGAAGACACAGATCACAAGAAGAACCAGGATCCGGATCCGGAACTGTTGACGGAATCTGTTCCGTCACCGAGAATAACCTTCAAAACAGCGAAGGAAAACGAATTTGTCGACATGAAAATAGACTTGCCAGCGAGGTTCACAAGTCCTCTGCCTCAGAGAGATGACAAACATTCTGTCTCAGGAAGAGTGTTAGCAGCAGGAGAGTACTATGGTGAGATGGGAAAAGAGGTTGAAGAAGGTGGTGACGTGAGGAGCAAGAAAGAGGTTTGTTGGGATGAAGAGGAGAACATACGCGGTGAAAAAATGAATTTATGGAAGATGAGTCTTCATGGAATTGGAGCTATATGTTCATTTAGTGTTGCTGCCGCTGCTGCCACCTTCTGTGTCTTCTTCCTTGGACACAACAATAGTAGCATCCACGGTTGTCGGAACAAGAACCAGATCTACTCTGATGATAATAAGGTAATATTAATGTAACTTTGATTCTACTTCCTAATCAAACTGTTAAGGAACCAAGTGAGTATTAGGTTAGTGTTGCATTTAGGACTTTCAAAGGTTATGTTTCCTATAACTCTTAGTTAGATTCCCACTTGACTAATGACATCTTTGTTACAAATTACATTGAATTCTATCCCATTAATCCAAAGTATAAAAACTTTTTGGATAAAACCAAGACTATTTACCAATGATTATTAAGTTTGATATGCTACTTTTACTGGTTAATTGTTTTTATTTAATATGGTTGGTTAATAATTAGTAGCTGGATGTTATCAAAATTAAATCTCAGCTTGTACAAATTTACTTGTTTGGTTAACTGGAAGCTACTATCAGAAAAAAAAAAGTTTGTGAATGTATGGTTCGACCAAAGTGATTAGGATGTGTTTGGCGGTGTGGCAAGTTACGTGTCTAAGTGAACAATCAACAATTGTAGAGAAGATACTTGTTTTGTCTATATACATTTGTGTTTATCTTTTCATGCGTCAAAGTCACACTTTGAGCAACCCACGTTTTAGAAAATGTCATTGTTCCTTGCATTGATATTAGCTTATAAATTACGTACAGCCTACAGATATTTTGTTTAGAATTGTGATCGAGTCAGCTATTATTGGTATAAACTAATAGATTAATCAGCTAAACCAGTCATGGAGCATGCTTTTTTTTTTTTGTAAATCGTCAAACTCGTTGTAATTGTATGACATACTTAACTGTATTTTGTTACATGCATTGCAGCGAACGAAGGAAGTAGTGAAACATGCAACAAAACTAAATGAAGCAATCTCAGTGCTGAAAGGCCTTCCGGTGGCGAGAGCTCAAATATCTTTTGGAGGACACTATAATGGACTTTGAAATCATAGCCATTCTCACCCGTTTATAGATACATCAGAGCCAAATATTATCTACTGTTTTATTACCATGGGCTCTATAGCTTATATACACTAGTATGAATTTAGGAAATTCAATATGGTATGATGTTTGTAAAATTTACATTATGTGTCCAGATATATGAACGATGACGATATACTGTAGACTTATTGAGTGGTTTTATAAAACCGACCATGCATTAACATGTTCCTAATTATAAGATGAAGTGTGTTTTATCTCAAGTCTCAACTTCACCACAACCATTGTTTTCCACGGAGTAGAGATATAAAAGTTCTTCCGTATATGATTAACTTGGGGGTTGGAATGGAATTGTACTCACATTAAAAAGATCAGGCCCAATATCTTGAGGCCCATAATCCAAACCAGTGAGACCCATCAGTTGACTTTTAACATCTCTCCGTCCGACACAACCCGCTTCTGTTTCCCCAGCCACTACTTAACTTAAGGTAAGTGGTCCGTAACTAAAGGAGACCTGTGTGACTGAGAGTGAAGAAGAAGATAGAATGCAGACTCACCTTCTGGTGGGTCCCACCCCAATCAAAAGCTGCCGTCGATTCTCATCTGCTTTCTCCGGCGACCTCCTCCCTCCTTCCTTGAGTTCGTTCGGTCGAGACCTACACCACCACCGTCGAAGGCACCACCGCGACGGCAGATCTCGGTGCCAGCGCAGTCGGGGAAGGAAGACGACTGTTATATCTGCTGCCGCGGCGTCTTCTTGGTCTTCTTCGGCTTATAATAGGGGCGAGCAGAATCACTACGTCGTTTTGGGAATCGCTCGCAACGCCACGCAAGCTGACGTCAAGAGAGCTTACCGCTTGCTCGCTCGAAAGGTTAGGACTTTGGTTGAGACTCTTCTCGTTTTTGGTTTGGGATGGTTAGCTGATTGCTTTGGTTAAAGGTGAGTGTTTGTAATCACTTAGTAAGTATTAGGTTTTAACTTTTAGTGAGATGAGAGTAGCTAAGAACATGAAAAGTATTCAGAGGAAATTTAAAAAGTTAGAATCTTTGTGTATTGTATGAGTCCCTAAGTTATGATTCAGAATCTAAGCTGTCTTTGTTAATCATCTAAGCAAGTTACGTGTGTTCTCTGTATTTTTTAGATTTTATTCTAGGCTTTCTAGCTCTTGTACGCTTTGGATCCTTCTCTCTCTTGTGAATATAGCATATGGATATAGTATCTCCTTCCCTATTGTCTAGTCATGCTCTTATTTTATCTTTCAACTTTGTTTGTTGACAGTACTCTTGGTGTTGCTATTGCAGTTTCATCCTGATGTAAACAAGGACCCTAAAGCCGGAGAGCGATTCAAGAGCATTCGTTGTTCCTACGAAGTGTGTAGCTTCTTCTTTTCTAATCTTTGACGCATATCTGAGTGTCTTAACCACAAGCTCTTTTGTGTGTTTGTTTCTTATTCACTTTATTTGTATTGTTTTGAAAGGTTCTATCTAATGAAGCTACAAGGACTCAGTACGACAGAGCACTTAAACATCAGGAAAATGTAAGGTTCTCTAGAGTGAAAAGGCATTACTACAACACCCCTGACTCTGAGATTGAAGATGCCATGAAGTATTGTTACAACTGGTCTGAGAAAAGACGCTATTCTTCTACATATCCAAACTCACACTTCTATAGCGAAACCGTTAGTGAGCCACAAGAAGAAGAAACAGCACAACAACAACAACAACAGAGAGATTCTTTCGCCACAGTTCTCAGATCTGTCTTCATCTCCATGTTTCTTCTATATACTCTCGGGTACCTAGCATCTCTCACGGTTAGCACATTCACAGCTTTGATCGACAATGAGCTAGACATGGGTTACAAATCCGGGTTTATGATAGCTTGGATACTCGGTGGAAAAGGAGGTATCCTTCTCACTCTCTGCCTGACATTTGCAAGCTGGCTATGTGGGAAAGCAAGCAGCAGTGTTGTGGTTCTTGGGGTGGTTGCGATGTGGGTTGGGTCTAATTTAGCAAGACATGCTCCTCTTCCACAAGGAGCTCTCCTCACACTACTCTACATGTCAATCAAGCTTCAAGTCGACACAAGGTGAATCTTTACCTTACGAAAGGTTTAATCTCAAAGTTAGGGTGTAAATAATTTAGAATGCACATTGTCTCATCAAGTTGTATAACTTCTCTATTGCAATTTCTCGTATGATGGAGAATGTGTCTCCTATGATTTGTAGTTTTGCTTTTTGGGTGTCGAGAAAATTGAATAGTAAAGAGAAGAAATTACAAACTCCAATTTTTTCTTTTATTGTTTTAGTGTGGTTTACAGATAACAAACAAAAATTAATCAAAATTCAACTGATGAATTATAACAAAGGGTCTATGTATTATCAATCTGCACAAAGAAGAGATCAAAAAGATGACATCTTTAAACTTAATCCTTTTCTTCATTGACTCTTCTCTCTCATCTCGTTGAGATTCCTCCAAAGGTATTTGCCGCTGGCCATGTCGACGAACACCCAGAACCCATTCTCCATCTTCTGCTCATCGAAAAAAGAGAATAAAAATAAAAATTGAAAACCAGAATTCAACAAATTAACGAAAAGTGACGAATTTTATGATGATTACCTTTTTGAAATTGAGTCCTTGTTTATCATTCAATTCGACAGGTGAGTCGTCGTTGTCGTCTCCGATGAGTTCCGGCGAAGAACTCACCGTCTTCCACGCGAAATAACCGGCGAGAATCGCCGAGAAGAACACCAATAGGAATCTCAACGGACACATATTAAAACAAGGAAAGAAGAAGAAGAAGAAGAAATTGGGTTTGATGAAGAATGTGACGAAGAAGAAGAAAGAAGGGAGAATCTAGGGTTCGTGAAAAGGGGGAAAGAGAGATTTAAGGGGCGTGAGAATACGACGACATGTCTCCCTCTCTCTCTCACTGCGATCTAAAGGAAACGCGTTTCTGAACTTTTCAGCAATGTGAGGATACAAATTGGTGTTTTCTGAAATACTGTATACGACGATATTGACTTATTTTATATACGCGTATTATTTCCACTGTTTTATATAACAGCCCCAATATCTTTTATTGTTTAAGATAAGTCCCTGTATTTTACGAATTGTACCTTTTTATTTTCATAAATTTCAAACAAAATTTTGTATTGAACTATTTTATCTTAAGAATTACAAAGATTGAATTTTTTGAAAAAACAAAGATTAAGTATTAACCGTAATAGATTGGCTTAAGTTTTTTTTTAAATGTGATAGATTAAACAGAGAATTGAGGGTTTGTTGAAGTAACCGGGCAACAATAAGGGATCTTTATTAAATTATTACATTTTATGGGGTGTAAAAGAAAGAAATCCATGTACCAAATGTTAGCAAAAAAAAAAAGAAGAAGAAAGAAATCCAAATAAAAAAATAGATGGAAAGTCTAGAAGGGGATGACCTCAACTACCACTCATATAGTTGTATTATTGTATCATGTTCATGTATCTATGATACAAGTTTTGTCAACGTGACGCAATTATAGAACTAAATATTTGGCTCTTCAACAAAAGTCTAACTACGTTTTCTTACAAAGCTTAGGGACACTCTACAAATTGATAAACATCATCTGCAGAGTAATCTACCATATCGGATGATCAGATTACTGTGTCTTTAATGTAATTAATAAGTACTTTGCTAGATTTCTAAGAATTGATTATTTGATAATTTTCTTCTTTTCATACAACATTTGTTGCGAAATATAGAGGTATTGGTATTATGGTTAATATCACGTGAACTAATCCTCAGTTTGATGTTATACATGTAGTTTCGTATGTTTGATGAAATTGTCGAGTGTTTATGGAGAGAGAATGTTGTGGAGATGGTATGTGTCATGTGTAAGTTTTATCCAAAGTCTTATTATTGGCTCCCACAAACCCGGTTGCCATTCAAATTAGAATACCTTCTTTACTCCAAAGGCTAAATCATCAAATTCAAGCTGAAGGGTGTTCCTAATGGTGGTGAGTTTTTTTATGTGTATACACTAGCATGTACTTATCAATCCGCAAGAGGTAAGTTTATTCATACGGAAAAGAGTTTGCTTGAATCGCTCTCTATCATGTACTTTGATCTAAAGAAGAGTTGTATCAGAGAAGTTCGTTTAGAGGAAGTGGACGTGACGATCTTAGGAGACTCCATGAAGTTGGATTAAGTCTTAGGCCTGACTTCATAAGTGTTACACAAAATAACATTGAGAGACTGATCATGTTGTCCTTGTAAGAACTTTTCATCATTCTTGCTCTTAGAATGACATTTTATTTATTAGATTTTCATCAAAATTTCTTGTAATGCACATGATTGGTTGAACTCCATTGGGTGCTATTGTCAATGATTTGATAATTCCTTAAATCTCAAATGCAGATGCTATCGACTGCTGCATTAATATAATGCTAAAGATTCAGAATAGTAGTTTATAATTAAAACAATAGAAGAAACATATAAAGACAGGCTGTAACATGTGTTTAAAATTGCCCCTTACTTTCCTTTTAATATATGTTTCTAGCATTTGTCATGTAACTCCTTTTCTTTCAGAAATTGAAAATGTTTCTTGGCCTAAAGAGACACAGTTTGTTTTTTTTTTTTTTGATCAAATAAGAGACACAGTTTGTAAAAGTGACATCTAGTGAGATAAGACTAGCTAATAGCCAAGAATCCCTTGATGTTTGAGGAATGAGCTAAATTTTACGGCTATAATTGATGTCACCGAGTTTATTTTGCTAACTAAGGATTTTAATATAATGTCATGTGAAGTTTTATAAACTTCCACTAGTTGATAATAAATGTACACGTAGTAACACATGTGACATGCTGTTTAATAAATTTATGCTAAGGATTTTAATATCATGTGAAATTTTATGAACTAATGAATGTACGTATTACCACATGTGAAATGTTGTTTAACAAATTTAATTATGCTAATGATATTAATATCATTTAGAGTTTTATGAACTTCGACAGATTATGCACAAGTTACTTCTCTTTTAATAGAGAAGCTGACACTTTGCAATTTGTTTTTTTTTCTTGAAATATGAATATGTTCCCACAGAAGGGATTGTCATAATTTGATAGTTATATAGTTTGAATAGAATCCAACGACATGTGTTACACTATAAACAATGTGGGTGCTACTTTTGCAAACAACTGCATGTATATGTATGATAACACCACTAAATCTCTTAGAAGCTAGAAACAATGTCATATAATTCCTAGTTGGCGGTATATGGATAGAGCATTCAAAAAAAAAAAAACTGAAGATTCCTTCGTTATTTGTATCAGAGATGAAACTTAAGCTATTATTAGGCTGCATCACCTAGTCTACGCACATGCCGTTATTTTTTTATCTCTTTTCTTTAAACAACTTTGTCTCTTATAGTGACTTTAACACCAACACTGACAACACACAATTCCCAAACCAATATTCATATTACTGAAAGAATATATCAATCTCTTGAAATGTTCAATAGTCTTAAGATCGAATTAAAAGAGTCATTGTATACGTATGATCCTGGAAGCAAAACCTGAATATTAATTACTTTTGATGAGAAAAAAATTGTCAATCATGACAATGTTAGCGAAATGTATTAGTTATATTTTTGCATGAGTACATGTGTTTTGGACATATAATTGGAGACAACTAAAGAAAAAGAGTGGATAAGATTCTTTTTTCTAAATATGTTATATGACTTAATTTTTTTGTTCGTTCTGCGTGTTGTCAATCAGCTTCAGTTTCTTCCTAAGGCATTTTCAAAAATATGCCTAAAAGATCGAAAAATCATATGGTGCACCCCCAACTACATATTTTTAAAAATATTTCTGGCCTAGCCCAAATTCCAATTGGCCATTGACCAGTCAGACACCCTTCAGAATGAAGCATTTTCCAAAACTTCCTTTCGTCAAAAAGGTGTAAACTTACAACTTTAATAAAAAACTGTCCAATCAACATGTGGCATGCCGTTTAATAAATTTGTAGTAAGGATTTTAATATCATGTAAAATTTTATGAACTAATGAATGTACAAGCACGTGTGAAATGTTGTTTAACAAATTTAATTATGCCAATGATTTTAATATCATTTCGAGTTTTACGAACTTCCACAGATTATGCACAAGTGAACTTCTCTTTTAATAGAGAAGATGACACCTTGCAATTTGTTTTTCCTTGAAATCTGAATCCGTTCTCACAGAAGGACATTGTCATAATTTGATAGTTACATAGTTTGAATAAATCCAGTGACATGTGTTACACTATAAATAATGTGGGTACTGCTTTTGCAGACGACTGCATGTATATGTATGGTAATACCACTGAATCTCTTTGAAGCTAGAAAAAATGTCATTTAATTCCTAATTGATGATATATGGATAGAATATTCAACACAAAACTGAAGATTACTTTGATATTTGTATCAAATATGAAACCTAAGCTACTATTAGGCTGCATCACCAAGTCTACGCACATGCCATTTTTTCATCTTTTTTTCTTTAAACAACTTTGTCTCCTATAATGACTTCAACACCAACACCAACACTGACAATGACAACACACAATTCCCACACCAACATTCATATTATTCAAAGAGTATATCAATCTCTTGAATATTCAATAGTCTCGAGATCGAATAAAAGAGTCATTGTATATATATGATCATGGAAGCAAAATCCGGATATTAATTACTTTTGATGAGAAAAAAATTGGCAATCATGACAATGTTAGCGAAATGTATTAGTTATATTTTTGAATTAGTACATTTGTTTTGGACATATAAATGGGACAACTAAAAAAAAGTGGATAAGATTGTCAACATCCATCAACTTAAAATAATAATCAAAGAAATCGTGATTTGATGCAAACATGACGATGCAACCATATGTCTCTCCTAAACAGAAGATTATGCCATAGTTTAATACCCCCAAAATATTATATACGACTTTGGATCTTAATTTTATTTCAGAATTACTAATAAATATATAGTTTACATTTGGATTTGGGTTTAGTGGTAAAGGTTAAGGTTCAGTATTAAAAATTGGGGTTGGTTTAGTATTTAGTTGTGTGTTTGGTTCTTTAAAAGATCTACTAGTAAATAGTCTCAAGCTATACAATTGAGTATACTGTAATTAAATCTTTGATATAATTTATTTAAAAGATCTGCTAATAAATAGTCTCAACTCTCAAGCTATACATGTTCATACCAAGTAAACTATTAACATCATCTCACTTTTATACGGGTAATTGAAAACTTGTATTTGGAAAGGGTAAAACTAGACCTTTGTTAATGAATTATGTCAAATCACTGATATATTATTCATTTTCATTAGTGATTTGTATATTGAGCAAATTTTCTTTTTAACATTTTAACAAAAAAAATAATAAGGGATCAGGCATGCTTTAGTGTGACTATATCATCTTCTTAAGTTGGAGGCTCAAGAGTAAGGGATCAGCTAGGTATTTTTCCTTTTCATGCTGTTGTCGGGGTCTACTAATCTCCACCTTTTCTCTTTTTGTATTTTCTGTATCTAATATTGTGCGGTCCTTGTTACAAGTGTTATAAAAAAAACAAAAAAAAATAATGATAATTGTGTTAGCAACCTTCTTGACACCAAGCGCATATTGTTTTTTAATTCTCTTGCTACTTGCTGCGATTTAATTTGTCGCTGTTAATATATCATTTTTTTTCCATTTGAGTTCGTTTACTAATACTTTTTTTTTTTTTTGTCTAAATTACAAATTCTCAACAAACAAATTGTAAATCTAAGTAAACAAAATTTACAATTCTGTTAGAGTGTTAACCTGCGCCATGAAACCACGGCGGCAGAACACGGTCTCTGGAGAACGTCTAACCACCACCACCCGACGCCTTAACAGGCGACCCAAAACCTCAGATAACAAAACAGAAAGCTCCGCACTGCCGATACCAACAGATGTCGTAATCGAGATCTTCTCGAGGCTGCCGTTGAAGTCGGTAGCTACATGCCGTTGCGTATGGAAGCTCTGGTCCTCCGTACTCCGCCGTCCAGATTTCACCGACCTCTTCTTAACCAAATCTTCCTCTCGGCCTAAGATCGTGTTCAACCGGCGAAAAGACGGTAAGTTGCTCTTCTTCTCTTCACCACAGCTTCAAAATCCAGACGAGAACTCTTCAGTAGCCGCCCATCCTCTCATGAACTTCACTGATTTCAACTTTGGTTCTTTCTATAAACTTAGTGGTCCTTTCCGTGGCCTTGTCTGCCTTTTAAACAAGCAGATCTCAGAGAGCAAGACGGATATAGTACCTATGATAGGGAGCCCTAGCACGGGACAAACCTTGATCTTACCCAAAGTAAAGACGACGAGGGGTAGGGTCAAGTGTCTGCTTGGGTATGATCCAGTTGATAAACAGTTCAAGGTATTGTCCATGACACAGCCGTTGAATGGTCGGAAGTCATGGGACTATATCATGTCTGAGCATCAAGTTCTTACTCTAGGAACCGGAAAGCTGTCATGGAGAATGATTCAGTGTTGTGTACCTCATATATATCCACGTGAATCTATATGCATCAATGGTGTTTTGTATTACTCATCTCTTCTCCGTAGCGATGCTAAGATAGTTTCCTTTGACGTTAGGTCTGAGAAGTTCAGGGTTATTGAGGTTAAGGGAAGTCTAAAACGAGCGCTTTTTGGGGACATGATAAACTACAATGGTAAATTAGGTTTGGTTATATCTGAATATAGTGACGGGAGTTTCGGTTTAATCTTTGCGCAAAGTTCAGGATTTAGGTTGTGGGTTTTAGAAGATGTCGAGAAACAGGAATGGTCTCAGCATTTTTATGTATTGCCTGCTTCGTGGAAGAATGTAGCTGGGGAACACACGTTCGAATTTGTTGGGTTGGCTCGGACGACTAACGAGATTGTGTTGTCCTCGTTGTGCCCACCTTACTGTTCCTACCTCATCTACTTCAATCCTGAGAGAAACACTCTCGTAAGAGTTGAAATTCAAGGGCTCGAAATGGGTGTGTCTGCACATCAAACCTTTCTAGACCATGTAGAGGATGTAAGCTCTATCCAAAGGTTACTTAAGGTGACTTGAGACTACTTGTTTCTCTCGTCTACACTATATCTTAATCATTAGATGCCTATTTTCTGTGGGTCAGGTTTTCCATGTATTTCAACAAAATAAATTGACTTGCAGCTGTGTTAATTATCATAAAGTACAAGAGTTTTCACTATGGAGTGCATCTGATTCACATATGCTTTGTGATATGTATGTTTTTATCACAAGGCATGCCATGCCTCAACGAAATGATAGGAAACCAAATGAAATTATATAGTTCTTTACTGTTAGTTTACACTTCAAATACATGACAAACTTTGAATGCTACGGTGGTGTGGTGGTATAAAATCTTGTGGAACAATCGATCACTTCAGTTGTCTTTAGCTAAACCTCAGCGACATGAGTCCAAAAACCAACGAGCAGCTCATAAACATTGCCCTACCAAACTGGAAATGTATTCTTAGAATTTTCGCCAATCTATTTGCCTCCAAGAACTGCTCAATCAGTCTGCAAGAAAATAATTAAAGCTAACAAAATCCAAACGTTTTTCTCTAGGCTTCAATTAATGAACAATTAGGAACACAAAGGCCCGGTTCGTTGGTGATGACCAAAATTAGTGACCAGCGGCTGCAACTTAATGTCGCTGATAGTTGTTCGTTTGGTGGTCGCCAGCGTTAGCGGTGATCGCAGCGGTTGTCGCTGGATTGTTCATTTTAGTATTGCTGGCGACCAACTCTTTACATTTAAATTATTTATTTATTTTTTGACAAAAAAATATGAATATAGTTATTTTATTTGATTTATACATGGTTTGTAAATAGCTTCTTAAAGCCTTAGACATTAATTTATTTGCTTTGATTTGGTTCACAAGAATTATTACATGATTTGCTTTGTGTGTATTGGCTAAATTTGCGAAAGTTAAGGATTGTTAAAGGGAAAAATGAATAGTAACAATAGTTTGAGGGTAGCGATTTTATAGCTACTCTAAACAATAAAATAATATAAATACTTTGGGATTTTTATTTTAGCAAAAAAAAATTAATGACTTTGATGATTTATTTTGATTTTTAATATTTTTTCTATTTTTGTATTCTTATATTTATTTTATTTATAAATTTATTTAATTATTTTTTGTGATTTTTGTTTTTCTAAAACATTTGATGACTTTTCTGATTTTTTTTTAATTTTATGATTTTTTTTTCTATTTAAGTATTATTATATTTATTTTATTTATAAAATAATTTAATTATTGTTTGCGTTTTATTGTTTTTTTAAAAGAAAAATTAATGACTTTTATGATTTATTTTGATATTTTAGGAATTTTCTTTTGTATTATTATATTTATTTTATTTATATAATAATTTAATTATTGTTTTTGTTTTATTGTTTTTTTAATTTTTAATTTATTTTAATGATTTATTTTTATTTAGTATATTTCTATTTTTGTATTATTATATTTATTTTATTTATAAAATAATTTAATTATTGTTTGTGTTTTTTTGCTTTTTTGTTTTTAAAAAAAAATTAGTGACTGATTTGTTTGTAGTTTTCTCTTCTCTTTAAACAACTTTGTAATACTTTTTAAATTATTCTCAACAGATTTTTTATTATTAAACTATTAAAATTTTACTTGTCATTAGTATTTTAAATGAATTACTAAAATTTCATAATTTGCTAATAACATATTACTAAAACAGTATATGAACTAAATGTTATTATATACTGTTATATTTTTGTATGTAAACATTTTTTTTTTAAATATCATTAAGATTTTCAAAATAAAGAAAATATAATATATATTTTTAGATATAAAAGTTTAACCTATGTTAATACATTTATTTTGTATAAAATTTTATTTAATTTACGAATTTTAACCATTTTAAAGATGGGTAATAATTTATTTAAATGAAAAATTAAAATATATAATTTTAAATTTACATATAATATAACTTTAATATTTAATTCATATAGCCTTGGTATTTTTATATAATACAGAATATAATTATAAAATTTATAAAATATAGAATATAATTTTTTTTAATTTCTTGTTATATAATAAAATTTTAGTTAACGTTGACTTATAGTAATATTATATTACTAATTACGAAATTTATTAAATTCTTTCTCAACAGTTTTTTAATTAAAAAAATAAAATTCAAATTTACAGTTGGCTTAGTATTAATGTATATAATCAAATATATTATATTAACTAACTTTTGAAGTGTTCCTACTATGACTTGTTAATAGTAAATAAAAATAGAATCCTAAATTAATAGATTAGATTTTAGCTAGTGTTGATATATCCTTCAGTACAAGTCATATACAGACTCTTGTATCCTGATCTTGGTAAATAGTGTGTGGTTATATATTGCTCGATGTTTCTTGTGTGATTCCTGACACCTTGCAATTTGTTTTCCTGAAATCTTAATTTGTTCCCCTCCCTACCCATGGTAGGATGTTGTCATAATTTAACTGTTACATAGTTTGAATAGATTCCAACTACATGTGTTACACTATAAACAATGTGGGTGATGCTTTCACAGAAAACTGCATGTATTTGTATGGTAACACCACCAAATCTCTTAGAAGCTAGAAACAATGTCATTTAATTTTTAGTTGACAATATATGGATATAGCTTTCATAACAAAACTGGAGATTCCTTCAATAAGTGTATCAGAGATGAAACCTAACCTAAGCTACTATTAGGCTGTATTGCCTAGTCAACGCACATGCCATTGTAGTTTTCTCTTCTATTTAAATAACTTTGTCTTCTATAGATTGACTTTAACACCAACACTGACAACACACATTTACAAAACAATATTTGATATTACTCAAAAACTAGATCGATCCCTTGAGATGTTCAATATGATATAGGATTGTGGTGAAGAAATACTAGTGCACGTGTTTATAGAAAGAGCTACGATTAGAAATTAATCAAGAAAATTGTAAAAGGTAGCTTCTTTTTCATCTCTTTTTCTGGGAAAGTTCCCAGGTTTCTCATCTCTGTTCTTAAGCTTTTCTACTGCCAAGCTCATGGCATGTGAAAATTTAAAGTACGATTCATTTCATTTTCATCGATTATGTTTTCCCTTATCACAGTAGTCTCCAGGCCAGAAATTAAAAGAATATTGTATATGAGTTTTGATAAATAAAAAGTTGGCAATCGTGACTAACTGACAACGGTAGTAAAATGTATTATTATATTGTAAAATTTTGAATCAGGACATGTGTTTCGGACTTATTAATCGGGGATAACAAAGAAATAGAGTGGATAAGATTGTCTACAAGTCAACAAACACCAACTCAAAATAATCAAAGAAATCATTTGATGCGAACATGACGATGCAACCATATATCACTCCTCACCAAAGCGATTACGTTAATAGATATGTGGCATTCTCCACTTATTTTCCCTCTAGGAATATTTAGCCTGCGATGGCATCTACATGTAATGCGCATAGAATGTTCTTATTCGGCTAGCTTAGATTATGTTCTGACGAATATATAAACACAATATTCAATTTTTCAAGTATTATTATTACTTAAGTGTATATAAACTGAAAAAATAAATGATGAGTGTTCAAAGAATCTTAATTAGTTTACAACATAGGTAGGTAAATCATAGGTTTATGTTCTATGGACTAATTTAACAGATAGGAAGTTAGTAGGTACAGTTGATATAAAAGGGACAATGACTCTTGAGTTATCTTAAAACATGTTTCTCTTAACTTCTTGTCTCTTTCATGTTTTAATAATGTTTACTCTTCAAATATGAAAAGCATAAATACCCTGTTTAATCCATAATTATTGCTAATACTGTGAATAGTATCTTGGCTTTTGTAAACCTTTACTTAATCAGCTCGACCTCCACTGAATCTTTAATCATATTAATCAGCTCCACCTCCACTGAATCTTACCTAAGCATAGATCACGTGCAGTCTATACAGTATACACACACTCTCTACTATATATTTGTGTGTATAGTAAGTTGTAATTTCACTGACACCCATCGTTTTAAATACAGCGTTCTGATCAAAGCAACCAAAGAAAAAAAAAAGGACCAAACAGAGAAAAAGAGACATGAATGCTTTAGCAGCAACAAACAGAAACTTCAAGCTTGCTTCTAGGCTTCTGGGTTTGGATTCTAAGCTTGAGAAGTCTCTTCTTATCCCTTTCAGAGAAATTAAGGTTCGGTTTTTTAATCAAATTTCACTCCTTTTTATGTCCAAAGTTCGATTATTTTTTTTGTTGGGTCTGAGACTAGCTTAAAGTTCTTGTCGGAAAATTAAACCTGATCTAGTGCCTTTTGTTGGAGATGATTCTCCTCGGCTGATCTCCTCCATAGAGGAAACTGGTTAAAAAGATACTGAATCGTATAACCGGAATAAACCAGTTATTAAACCGGTTTTTAATTTTTTTTCAGGTGGAGTGTACTATACCGAAAGACGATGGGACACTAGCATCGTTTGTTGGGTTCAGAGTCCAACACGACAATGCAAGAGGTCCTATGAAAGGTGGAATCAGATATCATCCTGAGGTTTGGTTTTGACCTTTTGATTTTTATTTTTTTTCACTTTCTAAACCGGTCAATTCAGTAAGATAATGATTTGATACCGGTTATTGGTTACCTTCCTGCAGGTTGAACCGGATGAAGTGAACGCATTGGCTCAGCTCATGACATGGAAAACAGCAGTGGCTAAGATTCCGTACGGTGGAGCCAAAGGAGGGATTGGTTGTGATCCGAGCAAGCTCAGCGTCTCTGAGCTTGAGAGATTGACTCGTGTTTTCACTCAGAAGATTCATGATCTCATTGGGATTCATACTGATGTTCCAGCTCCTGATATGGGCACTGGTCCTCAGGTTCTCTCTTAAAACGTTTTCATAAAGTTTTTGTGACTTTCTTTTAGTCATTTTAACCTTTTTGCTTGGTGATTTTGTAGACAATGGCTTGGATTCTTGATGAGTACTCAAAGTTCCATGGTTACTCACCTGCTGTTGTGACTGGAAAACCTATTGTAAGTATCAGTAAACACGGTTTTATTTTGCTAATTCACTGATATATATTTATATCTGAATGGTAATGATGTTTTGAGCAGGATCTTGGTGGATCACTCGGGAGAGACGCGGCTACTGGAAGAGGAGTGATGTTTGGAACCGAAGCTTTGCTTAACGAGCACGGCAAGAGCATCTCAGGGCAACGTTTTGTCATCCAGGTGAAGCTTCTTTATTTATTACAGTTCCTTGTGAGTTAAAGAAGGTTCTTGATCTAGTGTACATATTGGTTCTTTAGGGGTTTGGGAATGTAGGCTCTTGGGCTGCGAAGCTGATAAGTGAACAAGGTGGGAAGATTGTTGCGGTGAGTGACATTTCCGGAGCCATCAGGAACAAGGATGGTATCGATATCGAGAGCTTGCTGAACTATACTAAAGAACATAGAGGTGTTAAAGGGTTTGATGGTGCGCATCCGATTGATGCAAATTCGATACTGGTTGAGGATTGTGATATCCTTATCCCTGCAGCACTTGGTGGTGTCATCAACAGGTTCAAGCTTCTATTTGCTTACACAAACTTACGATTATCTTCGGAAAGTTTGTTCTCTAACTGTTGGTTGGGTTGTGTGTTGAAGGGAGAATGCGAATGAGATTAAAGCAAAGTTTATCATTGAAGCTGCTAATCACCCAACTGATCCTGATGCTGATGAGGTGTCATTCTTATTTGTACTTTACTAAGATTCTCTTTGCGGAACTGTAATGGAGACTTTCTTGTATTACAGATATTGAGTAAGAAAGGTGTGGTTATTCTCCCAGACATATATGCAAACTCTGGAGGAGTCACTGTCAGCTACTTCGAATGGGTTCAGGTATGAGTCTAAATGAACCTTGTTGGACAAGCCTAACACCCGAACCAAACAGATACTGATAAGATGAGTTGTTTTCTATTAATGTGGCAGAACATACAAGGGTTTATGTGGGAAGAAGAGAAGGTGAACGATGAGCTGAGGACATACATGAATCGTGGATTCAAAGATATGAAAGAGATGTGCCAAACTCACTCATGTGATCTTAGGATGGGAGCTTTCACGCTAGGTGTTAACCGTGTGGCTCGTGCTACCGTTCTCAGAGGCTGGGGAGCTTGAGATTATCTGATATCTGTTAAAAACTCTGTAATAAAACGAGCAAATCTCTAATCCTTTTGCTTTTTATCATCTACTTTTGGTTTAGAGATCCTCATGAGTTTAACATATCTGAGTTTATAACCAGATGATGTGTGTGTATGTAATAAAACTGTGGACTGATAATTGATCAGTATTTTACTCAATAATATCAAAAACTAGAATCTGTGGGATACATTTATCATCATCATGATTCTTAGTTTTTCAATTATCCAAGTTTAAAAGACAGAATCACAAGCTAAGGGGTATAAATTAGAATGCTCTCCCTCGGCCTCTGGAGAATCCTCCACGGCCCCTAGGAGGACCTCTACCTCTAGAGAATCCTCCACGTGGAGGGCCTCTCCCTCTCCCACGACCAGGAGGACCTCTACCTCCTCTCCCACCACGACCTCCCACAGATTGTCCCCTGCAACAATTACAGAATAAGACTGTTGTTACAAACTAGTACTAACACTTGAACAAGTGGATTCTACTGGTGACTTAACAAAGGTAGATACAAGAAAGAAGCTATCTTCTCTCTCCAATGGCTTACTTTGGTTGAGGAAGGAATCTTGCAAGAGGCATTAGCTTAAGAGGGTCGATGTAAAACTTATCCCCTTCAGCATATGAGGTGGCTACAATACCTTCCTTCATTTTGATAGAAAACAGCTGAAAATAGGAATCAATGGTTTTAGTATTCGTAAGCTGACTAATGAAAGTAGAAGGCCACACACATAGAGAAAGAGAGATTAAAAGACATACAGATTCATTAATGGCACCAAAGATCTCATCTACTTTCCCAATCTGGATCTTGTTCTCTAGGTAAATTGGAGCATTAAAGTGAGGGATTTTCTCTTGGCAAAGCTTTGTCACAGCATCACCCTCACAAGCACGGAGAAAGGTTGCAACTTCTGTTAATAACCAACCAAAAGAAACCTTTGTCATAACAAATGCTCATCATGTTATAAGCTGATAACTTTATCAATACATTCTTCTGCTTGAGCGGTAAGATAACAGTAAAAATGGAGTGAGAGGAGAGGAAAACGAACCAACGACTTCGCTGGGAGGTCCTTCGTCACGCCAGCCACCACCACCACCACCAAAGCGGCCACCACCACGATTGCCTCCACCAAAGCGCCCGCCGCTATCTCTTCCTCCTCTTCCCCTGAAGCTTCCGCCGCCACGTGGTGGTCTCATCTTTTGGTTTTGTTTTCTTCTTTACTACTCTCCGCTATATTCAGTAGGGTTTTAGAAAGGTTTTTGTGAGCGCTTTTTTAACAATATTTTAAAATTACTGTATGGGTGAAATTCACAGACCGGTTATAACTAAACCGGGAACTTAAAGTGTATCGAAGCAAAGAGGTTAAACCAAAAGCTTTTTAACGAATATGACATATGGTAAGGCTTAGGTGGGGGATTGTAAAATGTAAACTACATAGATTTGTTTCATTTGTTGTAATAGAGCCAAACAGAAGTTGATACTCAGTTATCGATTTGGTTGGATTAAAGACAGCTTTGGATAAATACGCTTAGATTGGTGAAGTTTAGTTTGGGTTTCTCACATTATTTCAAGCAAGTGATGATAACAACAAATAAGCACACTTTGAAGGCTTCAAAAGCCTCACATCTTTTTTCTATTACTAATTCCATCTTCTCTTTTGTAACTTAGTTACATACATTACCAAGACACATCTACTTCATTACATTCAACCAGCCAAACAGGCTGCCTCTGTTTTTTTACCTCGTTTGATTGTGGTACTGTGACAACCCCCTTAAGCAGATCCAATTAGTCTTTGGCTTTCTAACAGCACATATGATGTGCTAAGTGTTGTATCAGCACACTGTCCTCCCATAGCATACTGATGCAATGTACAGATTTTTCGCCCATTTTTCCTGTAAAACATGCAGACTTTAATTTCAGTATATGGAAACAGAACAACAGCAAAAAGATCCAAACTTTGTTCAAAACTAAAAGAAACCCACCTTGACATGAGTACTAGGAAAGGCGGTGGTGCGAAGAGTCTCTTGAGTTTCATCCATCATTTTACGTTTTGGCATGCTTAATATGAAAGCTGCTTGATCTGCAGTTGCTGCCATTGATGTTATTCTATAACCACTCTCCCACCTCCTATGTATTCCATCGCTTGGGTACAAAAAGTCAAGCTCCACCACCTGATCAGAGAAGCCAGCGTTCCTCGACATTACCACACCCCAACGATTACCAGCAGTTGTCATGGATGTTACATGAAAATCTTCTTTCCATTTCTTATTTATCCACTTGAATGGAAATGTGTCGCTGACTTTGTATGACTGTTGAGTATAAGAAGTTCCTGCCAATTCATAACAAGTAAAGAAGAAACTGTTATTATACTAGATATTGTCACATGTAACACAAAACTCGAAGATCCATTAACACTAACCTTTTGACATAACAACCAAGGAGCTCCCGTTATCTGCACCAGCTATGGAACTTATATAATAGTTCTTTTCCCATTGTTCCATAATCCACTCCTGCAGACAAAAAATGGCTGAGTTATTAAGTTATTACAAAAGAGATTGTTTCCTAATTACTTCAACTGATTATTAGTTATTACCTTGTGAAGGAAGACCTTTGACAATTCATAAACTTGAGAGGTAAATCCAGTTCCAGCATCCATAATAAGAGCCCAGAGATTCGCTGCTGATGCTACACAGCTAATCAAAAGACCATCTTCATTACCCTTCTGTACATGCTGATGCAGTCTTGTCTCTGCAACATTGTAGTGATATCTACAAGAAAATATTTAAGATTCAACAGTTAGTGAGGGATTTGGTTAATGAAGGTTTTCGAAACTTTCAAGTGTATATATATGCAAAACTTTTTACCTCTGTTTCATGGGACGACGAGCATTATAACATGAAATCCATTGAGTGGCTGGAGTGCCTATTCTGATTTTCTTCTTCGGTTGTTCATCCTCTTCCAAATTAAGAAGCAGTCTTCCTCGCTTTTGTCCAACCTATATATACGCCAAAAGAAGCATTTTCAGAAACATTTATCAAAAAAAAAATACCAGGTCTAGAAAGTTAGCATATGAATGAGAAAAAACAGGTAGTAACCTTAAGAGCCCCATCGATTCTAAGAGGTCTAGATAAAGCGCATGGCTCAATTAGACCATCGAAAAGCGAAATAAGCTTTGCATAGTTGGGCTCCTCGTCAAACTTCAAATTAGTAACTGCCTCAAGGAATAGCTTAAACGGTGGTGGACAGAAGCAGCACATCAACTCAGGAGAAGTTGACATCTTTTTCTTGCAAACAAGAAAGCTCTTGTTATCACCCTGCAAAAAACAGCAAAGGATGCATATACGTCACTAACTACATTCAAGAAGATGAATAGCTCTAAGGTCATGAAAGGAAGTAAAAAAAACAGACCTGGTAACCTTGCCATGGCAATCTTCCCTTCAATAAGAAAATTAGAGTATAAGCCAATGACTCTAGATCATCTCTTCGACTTCCAGTACGACCTAGATGTGCATGAACACTTGCATACCTTACAGTCCCTCTGTATTGCCAAACATTATAAATATGTAAGGAAACAGTATATTATTTATATTTAAACGGAAAAAAATACACGAATGAAAATACCTGAACACATCAGGTCTTTGATCATATTCAACATGATGGTCTGAGTGTTTCCATTTTGATGCTGAAACAAAAGAAGATTATGTAAAAAACTAATGTAAGCATCAAGCGAGAGAACCACTTAAAATATCCCATGAAACATTGTAGCGACATAAGAGAAGGAACTAGAACATAAAACTCACCTAGACCAAGATCGATAAGGTAGAGTTTTTTCTCATCTGCTGTTCCTGGTTGACCGAGTAAAAAGTTTTCAGGCTTCACATCTCCATGGACAAACCTATTGTGGTAAAAATACTCAATTTATTTTACTCGAAAAACAAAGGAGCTATCAGACATGAAGTTAGCAAGAAAATATATTCACTAACCCTTTCATATGAAGTTTCTCAAGAATAGATATGGACTCAACTGCAATGCATGCTACCATGTTTGGTGACATCCTGCCACATGTCATGAAACATTAATCATATTAACAATTATGAAAAGAGAAGAAAATGTTGTGAAAGGATAAGAGTTCTTACGATTGCCCTGAAGAATTCCAAACATCCCAGAGACTCGGACCAAGCATGTCCATGACCTGAAAGATTTATCGAAACGTTTCTCAGTACAAAGAACAATCGTCAATCTCGAAGTAAATTTAATAAAGTTCATACTAAAATACATACAAGGATGTAAAAATCTCCTTGGCAGCCCTTATGATGTACCGCAGGAACTCCATAGCAACCGTTGAGTTCACTGTACAGCAAACAGCAAAAGGAATATGAGATGAAAATTTAAGTTGATAAGAGACACTTGGCATGAAAATTAAGACAGAAACGAAGGCAAGTCTTACGTGTACACTTTCCACTCGTAAGGTGGACCAAGACTGCATCCTTTGCTATTTTGATGTTCAAATTTTATAGCCACCTCAACTGCATCTGGACCAATCCTATCGCTGCCACCACTCACCCTTCTACCAACAAAAACTTGACCAAACCCTCCTTTACCGAGTTTCCTCTCAGTCTTATAAACAGGAGAGTTTCCAACTTGTACCTATTACACAAAGAAGAACTCAAACTCAAACATCTCTCTCATACGAAAAAAATCTCTGTGATTTTATATGTCATAAAGATTAGCATGAAAGTTTACCCTTTCAGGGACTGGAGCTGTGCTTGGATCTTCTTCCACACCAACTATCTTATCTGGACTACCACCTTCCATGGCAGCTACCCTTTCGGCTTGATTAAAAGCAGGTTCACCTATAGGCTCTGCTTCTAAATCTATTAACCTGATGCCTCGACCCCTACCGGCAGCACCGGTCGGTCTAGGAGGTGCAGCGGCTTTGGTTAAAGCTGCAGCTGTTCCTCTTCCTCTACCACCACCTCTTCTCCTCGTTGGAGTCTGAGGAGGAAGGTCAATATTTTCTGCTTGATCAATCACCTGAGGTCTAGGTTGTCTCAATCTACGTGATCCATTTCTTAACTCTGGCATTCTTACTCCATACAAAAGAGTAAGAAAATCGTTTTCTTTTAATAAACCCGTTTACCTAAACCTGCAGGATAAAGAGAGGGAACAGAGGGTAACAATTTAGTTGATCATTTTGACATTTATTTCATAATATACAAGAAATGACACACCAATCTACTGTGATAACAAGTCTTTACAGAATCTAAGAGAATAGGAGAAACAGTGGCTTGCAATTAGAGCAATCCTTTTTTTTTCCATCAACTCACTTTATTGTCATCAGTATACAGTAGCATTTTCCAATCAAACAAAACCACAAGCATATGTAAACCAAATTCAGACCATAAAGTCATCAGCTTTGGCACAAAAGTATCAAAATCATTGTTAATCTCTATTAAACGCACGCCATCAACAAGAGCCTCAATATGATCAAAACATCAAAAGAATCTAAGAAAGAAAGTCGATTTGCTACTCAACATGAAAAAAACTTCAGGTGATTCTCATCTTCACAGAAGCAAGCATAAAAAGTAATATTTTAAAAGAATCAACAGGTTGATACAAAAAAAATGTTCAACCAACATCCGAAAAACAAGATCTTTCATAAAACCAAAGTTAAAAGACTTCTCAGTTCAAAAAAAAAAAGACTTGAAATAAAACATCCAGACAGAACAACAGCAACCGAATCAAAACAAGATGTTAAAAACATTCTCTACCCGAAACGTTTAGAAGATAACGATGATCGGACTATGATGATGATGATGGAATCGATCCCAAGAAAAACAAGCCTTTCAGATCTCCTTAAGAAATTTCTCAACAAGGGTGATTGAAATGATGAAACTTTTTTAAGCTGTGAACCACACTTGGAGACGTATATAGAGAGAGAGACACAAAAAACTGTAGATAGATTTAAGGTTATAAATAAGGAAGACTAAGACGAAGATGAAGATGAAGATGAGAGGAGGTGCAGATTTGGGGTAGTATCGATCTCCGGAAAATTTTTCTGGCATATATTTGGTGGAGATTTTTTATTTTAATTTTTTAAAAACAACTATATAAATTTTGAAATTAGAAAATTCTAGTCATGTGTGTACTACCCGAGCCGTACCACTGCCTGTAAAATGTTAATGCCTTAATGGTCTGATTATTGCTGTTTATCTTGGGTTTGGTCTTATATGATTTAATCTTTTAAAATTTTCTTAATATAATATTTTAACACGTTCGTACGCATGTAATGGGACTTGTCTCCCATTCCACTTTCACGTGTACCCACATACTCTTTATGCTAAATACCAAAAAAAAATGAGATGAAGATTAGTGTATAAGGTCGTTTACTTTGTGTCTGAACAAACGTGAATAATGATAATTAGTAACTGATCTGATCAAACCTAATGAGAATTATCTGTAGAATATACTGTAAGAACATTCTTCCGATTTCAAAAGTACAAATAGTTCTCCCCTACCAAATAATCTTCTCACCGCATGTAATAAAACGAGTTATAGGCCAGGCCATAAGGCATATATCAACCAGTTTTATAAAATTCGGTTCGGTTTAGTAAACCGATAATTCCGATTATAATTCTTCTAAACCGATCGGTTAGATAAAAAACCCCTCAAATCGCAAGAGTGTCGTAGCTTTAGTGAGAGAAGGATGGCGTCACCGAGTCATCCCCCTCCTGATCACGGCTCCAACTCGGTCGAGACTCGTTCTCCGGAGCTCAGAAAAGATCCGGTGACTAACCGCTGGGTCATATTCTCTCCCGCTCGAGCCAAGAGACCGTCCGATTTCAAATCCAAATCTCCGGAAAACCCTAACCCTAAACCTTCCTCTTGCCCCTTCTGCATCGGCCGCGAGCACGAGTGCGCTCCGGAGATATTCCGCGTCCCTGTAGATGACCCGAATTGGAGAATCCGGGTCATCGAGAATCTGTACCCGGCTCTAAACAGGAATCTCGAGACCCAATCGAATCAATCGGGTACGGATCGGAGTATAGTCGGGTTTGGATTCCATGACGTGGTGATCGAAGCTCCTGTTCACTCGATTCAGCTCTCTGGTATCGATCCGGTGGGTATTGGTGATGTTATGATCGCTTATAGGAAGAGGATTGAGCAAATCGCGAAACATGATTCAATCAGTTACATTCAGGTAAGGAGTTGCTTCCGTAAAAGAAGCTAACTTTAACACGTGGCGTAATCTGTAAGCTTGGTGTGTTCTTTAGTGATCAATGCTTGTGTTATTATGTGGATCTTTGTGTTGCTTACGTGGACTTATTTTTGTGTTGTGAAGGTTTTTAAGAACCATGGTGCATCGGCTGGAGCATCGATGAGTCACTCACATAGTCAGATAATGGCTCTCCCTGTTGTTCCTTCTACGGTTTCTTCACGGCTTGATGGTACTAAAGATTATTTCGAGGAGAGTGGGAAGTGTTGTCTTTGTGAAGCTAAAGCTAAGCACTTTGTGATTGATGAGTCGTCTCATTTTGTTTCTGTTGCTCCTTATGCTTCTACGTTTCCTTTTGAGGTTTGGATTGTTCCGAAGGATCACTCTTCCCACTTCCATCATCTCGATGACGTCAAGGTAGGAACTGCTACTAAGTTGCATTTTTGTCTTTGGTTAGATTTATCACCGTACTTAGTTTTTGATTGTTTACAGGCTGTTGACCTTGGAAGACTTTTGAAACTCATGCTTCAGAAGATTGCAAAGCAATTGAACGACCCTCCGTATAATTACATGATCCATACTTCTCCTCTCAAGGTGATGGAGTCGCAATTACCTTATACGCACTGGTTTTTGCAGATCGTACCTCAGCTTTCTGGGGTTGGTGGGTTTGAGATGGGCACAGGGTGTTATATAAACCCTGTTTTCCCGGAGGATGTAGCAAAGGTTTTGCGGGAAGTTAGCCTTGCTTGAACCCGGTTTTGTTCTTCCTAACCTGAGGTTCTGAGGGAAGTCGTTGGTGTGGATATTTTTGCTTCTTCGAGAAAAAGTGGCTTATCCTCTTTGTTTCCTCTGTAGAAGAAGAAGATGTTTCAGCTTTGATTCAAATAACATTTGATGTAAACGTATTAGTTCTTTTGTAATAAGCTGAGTTCTTTTAAAATACGTGTTAAGACTCGCTCACTCAGTGACCTTGTTCATCTCTTCAAAAAAACATTTTAACTATAAATAATACTCATGTTCTGTTCCTTGAAGCAAACCAAATTCTCAGCTCTACTAGACGACGCTTGAACCGTTACACGTTGGGGTTTACAGAGCTGAAATAGAGAAACCCTAGTTCGTTCTAGACAAAAAATTATCGAAAACATTCAGACAAAACAAACAACCAGAGATAAACAGAGTGTAAAAGAAGCCACGTGGCAGACATTCTCATCACAAAACAGAACACAGTCAAGACCAAAACAGAGTCAGTTGTACTCTTAACAGATTTTAGTTTGTCCTCATGGCTGCTGCAGCTTCTTCTCCGCCGTACTCACTCGCCGGCCGAGTCGCGATAGTCACCGGTTCATCTCGTGGAATCGGCCGAGCCATAGCTATACACCTCGCCCAGCTCGGCGCAAAGGTAGTCATCAACTACACAACCAGATCCACTGAAGCCGACCAAGTGGCCGCGGAAATCAACTCATCCGCCGGTTCTACTCCGTTAGCCGTCGTGTTCCGCGCCGACATCTCAGACTCAAGCCAGGTAGAGTCTCTCTTCAACGTGGCAGAGAAATCCTTCAACTCGCCGGTTCACATCCTGGTTAACTCAGCTGGTATCGTCGATCCAAACTACCCCACCATCGCCAACACTCCCGTTGAGGATTTCGATCGCATCTTCAGGTCAAAGTTTGTTTTTTTTTTACATTGTTTTGTGGTGTATCAATGTGATATAGTAAAAAAAGGAGGGAGCCACGTCAGCAAGTTAGTTAGACGATTCTGTTACAATAACGGAATCATCTAACTGCCTTGCTGACGTGGCTCCCTCCTTTTTATATCACAATGATTCTTCTTTTGTTTCAGGGTGAACACTAGAGGATCATTCCTATGCTGTAAAGAAGCTGCGAAGAGGCTAAAACGTGGAGGCGGTGGTCGTATCATACTCCTAACTTCTTCCTTAACCGAGGCGCTTATCCCTGGACAAGGAGCTTACACTGCATCGAAAGCAGCAGTTGAAACAATGGTCAAGATACTTGCCAAGGAGCTTAAAGGCTCAGGGATCACTGCGAACTGTGTTTCTCCAGGTCCTGTCGCGACTGAGATGTTCTTTAGTGGGAAGAGTGAGGAGACAGTGAGGAGTATCATCGAAAGAAGCCCTTTTGGTAGGCTTGGTGAGACCAGAGACATTGCTTCTGTTGTTGGTTTCTTAGCTAGTGATGGTGGTGAGTGGATTAATGGTCAAGTCATTGTTGCTAACGGTGCATTTCTCAAATGATTACGGTTTAGTGTCTTAAAAGATTCAAATTGCTATATTGATGTAGCCGAAGCTAGGATAATGCAAAGATATTTGTTTAGTCTAAGAACTTTCATGTATTTTTGAATTCATTGAGATCTCTATAAATCTATCGAAATGAACAAAGAGAAAAACTCTTAACTTTATTAACCAAATTATAAAACTAAATAAAACCATAAACTTAAAAAAACTATATATAAGAGAACTTTAAAGTCCTAAAACAATCTATCTGCATCATATGTGGTATTACAATCTCCTGAAGATGTTTGATATATGTATATAAAGGTGACTCAAGAATCAGCAGTATTCTACAAAACAGGACAAGCTCATACTCATAGTGCCATAAAGAGCAGTAACATACTAACTAGACCGAACCGGACACTAGAACCATACATACAATGCCCAGATGTTGGATCACCAATCTGTATAGGGAAATTACACTGATCTCTCGAAATATTCCTAGTAGTAATCATCGCAAGCCCTTCAAAGTCACACGCCTCTGCCTTCTGATTCTGCACCTGAAAATACATATTAAACGCATACGACGCGTTCCCAACCTCATCAAGATTCCCACACGACGAACCATACCCTAAAGCAGTACAGTCAGAGAAAGTACACGCGTAATTCACATTATCTCCGAGCTGGTTACTACTGTTACTAAAACTAATCGCATTAGGATTCAACATACACCACTGATTCTGCAAGTACTGAACATTCTGAGCTCCTGTCAAAGCCTTCTTCTCTCCTTCCCCTGACAAATCAGCCGGAAACTTCGGTTGGCCATCGTATTTGAATATCCCCCAGTGACGCTCAAAGTTACCAGGAGCTATACTCTTCGCATCTTCATCGATAAAACCGAAGAGATACACTTCTATGTAGCCAGGACGCATAGGTGTTCCTCTGTTCGCTGCTAACTTGGGAAGCAAGCCTGCGTAAAAGCGTTCCGCGTTTGGGATATTAGCGTTCTTGTCTCCGTCCGTTGGCCAACCAACTTCTCCAACTATAACAGTCATGTCTCCATGTCCTACTTCTCTAAGCGAAGCCAAGAGCGTATCGAAATTTGCGTCGAAGACGTTATTGTAAACGACGCCGTTATCGTTAACGGTGTTTTGGCCGTTGAAGAAGGCGTAGTCGAAAGGGAAGTCGCTGCTTAGGTAAAGACTAAGGAAAGGATAGATGTTGACTGTGAAGGGAGCCTTGTTGTGAGCTAAGAAGTTGACTATTAGTCTCATCTCTTCGTAGATGTCTTGACGGAAGGTTCCGGCGGATGGGACGGGGTTGTCCGGTGGAGAACTGTAGACGTCGGCGTTTGAAGGTACGGTGGCTTTGATGAAGTCTCCAACTCCGGCTTCGTTTAGTGCTTTTTGGATGTTGAAGAGTGCTGGATACGTTAGGTTTAGGAATGATCCGTTGTATGATGTTAAGAAGGGTTCGTTTCCTACAGCTACGTATCTGCCAAGAAATTAATTTAGTTACAACAATCAAAATTTAATAATAATATTAGTTTCGTTCCAACCGTCTATCGAACCGGAGACGTCTGACACAATGGTAAAATCAAAAAATTTGTTACTTACTTGATTTTGACGTCATCGGTGAAACGAGTGATGTTTCTTCGGACCCAATCTTTAGCTCTGTTGTAGCTTCCCATGGCTTTGAGCTGATCGTTAGGGATTGCGACCATTACTTCGATGCCGGAACCGGCAAGAGCTACCATGGTGTTTGTGTCGGCGTCGAAAAGCTTTACTTTTTGTACGTTGTTGTCTTTTAACATCTGTACAACCGTCTTTGGAGGTAGCTGGTGGGTGGACATTGTTCCCCAGTTTACTCCCAAGGCTGAGACTTCGCTGGAGAAGAAAGATATGATGCAGAAGAAGATGATGGAGGTGGTGCTCTGTTTACTTGGATTACTCATTTTGAGTTTTACTCTATTTTTGGCAGCCTTTGGAAGAAGAAGAAAATGAAGATCTGTATGATCTTCCAGGAAAGTTCTGTGCTTTGCGGGAAATGAGTAAAATCGAAGAGAAACTTGCGATTACAGTTGGAGGAATTAATAATCTTCAGAGTGAAGGAATTGAATTTTATATATTTGTTGTTGATTTCGTTTCTGTAGTAACCAGAATGAATCAGAGAAAGAGAAGAAGACGTTGTTCAATAGACAATAGTACACGTTAATCTAAAATAATAATAACAAATCTGAATTTGTTTTATGATTTTCTAACATCTATTCTAAAAATTTGGAGTTTAAAGTTGTGATACAGTCTTAAAATGTAGATGTTTATAAACCAACAAAAACGATGGATCCAAGTGAAATCGATTTAAATGATTGTAACAATAAATGTAGATCTGTTTAAGCTCTTTTTATATAATTTTTTCCGTATTTGGTCGGTCTTTGAGATGAGTTTATATTAAGAAAAACGCAAAGTGAAGTTGCTTGGGGTCTAAGTGATTGCCTGATTGGCACGAAGAACGCGACGCCGCTCGTCAGGTCAATCTCCAAAGCGAGACACTCTCCACATGCTCTTGTGATTACGAAATTTCCAAAGATCCACTAAACAAGCCCATACTAATAATAATAAAGTCATAGCTCAGTTCTCTGTACTTGTTTTTTTTTTCAATTTATTAAACCGACACTGCATAATCTTCGGTACATGCACATTCTTTTCTGGATTTTGAGGAACATACTGTAGTTATTATTAGTCTGGACCAAAAATAAATATATATGGATTGCATAGAACCAAGAAAATATTACTATCTCAAACTTTGAAACAACGGAATAGTATTTTGTTTATTGAAAGAAAGAAAACATTGCTGAAGAGTACATACATTATGAAACATAGATCTCTCCTTTTTCTATACGGCGAGTTCATCTTCAAGATAGCTGTATTCAAACGTGAACTCGTTTTTGATCCTTTGAACCCTACACAGAAAAAAAAATTATCATCTTTAGCGACATAGAAAAAGAAGACGATAATCAAAAACAAGAATCAAATCATTACCATCCTCCCTCTTGATTCTCGTCTTTGGGGGTTTGGAAATCAAAGTAAACATAAGCTCCCTGTTCATACTCATCCGTTGCAATCTTTGGCTCCTTATGTCTCTGGAACCATGTGTTGAACTTTCTGTGGTATCTCCATGACTGTTTCTTCAGCTCTTTTGCCGCTAGATACTGCTGATATGAGTTCTATACCAAATAATAGAAAAATAACACTTAAAACCATAAGGCTGAGGCAAAGAAACGACTATAAGTAAAATATAGAGCGTTGAGATTTTTTTGTACCTGCTGGTAATAAAATGCAAAGAACAATGTATCAGTTCCATACTGATCGCTGCCTAAACGTTCCCAGAACAAAGGGTTGTTAACGATTGGTGCTTGTGTTTGGGGAAATGTTTGAGGTGTGATTGCTGGGTTCCTCTGTTTTAAACTCAGAGAAGTGAATATCAAATTTAAGGGGAATATTATTAAGAGGACAGGCCAAAAAGAGAATTCAGAAGAATGGTGTACCGGAGTATACGGTCTAGGCCGTTCTGAATCTTTGGGTTGAGGAAGTCTATAGTAGGCAGCTTCAAGCATCTGGAGATTGTGCATCTGATCATGCATTGGCCCTAAAGCTGAAGGGTCACCAATGGCTCCTAATTCAGAGTTACTTCTGCGTCCAATGACACCGAGGCTATTCGAAGATTGGCCCGGTTGTATGGGTTGCCCAGGAGAGAAATCAGGGCCGTCTCTAGTTACCTGTACTGGATCCAACATGTAGCTGGGCATTCCCGACTGTCGATAAAACAAAAGGCACAAAGTAGGTGCTTAGGATAAGCCTTAGGTAGTTCTGTGTCTCAATATAGACCACATTCACTAGTGAATTCCATATGTTAAAGTTTTTTGGTAAAATCTATCTGATTGAAAGCGTATATCCAAGAGATACTAACGGCTAATAAATGTTAGCACAACTCATGCTTACCGGAGTATCAAATAGACCTTTAGAATCGTCCTCATTTGGAATGGTTTTTGAAGCTGCTATGGAAGTTGAATCATCAGGTAAGTTTTGTTGCAGCTGATCATCATTTCTGGCATGATCTACATCTGCACAAACATCAAGAATAGGTCTCATACAGATGTCTGCACTTTCAAAACTTGAAACCAAAAACTGAGGTCCAACAGCTCTATGATTTAAGTAACAGCTCTTAGAAATGTTAAACTTAAGAATGGTTATAATTGAATAATATGACTCTTAGATTGTATTTTACCATTGATACACAGAAATAGTGTCTATCGACAACTATACCATAAACCACTGAGATATAAATTTACCTGTAACGGAAGGCTGCTGACCCAGTTGCTGAGTTATGGCATTTGACGGCTGCTGTAAGGAGGCAGAACTCATGACACCAAAACCTGGTGCCTGGATTCCCATGCTACCATGAGGAGAGATACCAGAACTCTGACAACAAAAATTGAAAAGATAATAACTTATTAGGATGTAATGTTTTGGTTATCATTAATCATGTGATAATTCCATAAAATTAGAATAATCGTGCTCAAAACAAAATAAAATACGCTACCTGCTGTAAAAGAGGATTTTGCTGTTGTGAAGAAAACTGCTTCTCGTTTCCTCCGGATAGAGAAGGCATGCTTAAAAGGTTCCCATGGCCTTGTTGTACTTGCTGTAACCGCTGTAAAAATTTCTCTCTTTGATCTGGTGCTATTTCAGTTCTTCCACGGACCTAAAAGCAAAAACAAGATAGCAGGCATTTCATAGCAGAAAAAAAAATAAGAACGTAGAACCTAACAAACCACAAACCATGGGACGCATAGCCCTCGTAATACATCTCATAGAGCCTAGTAGTATTATGTTAGAATGTCAACCCATTTCTACACAAAGTTACATATAAAAGACCGTTATGTTTTTTTCTGAAGTATGTTCTAAAATAGGAGGAAAACTAACAAGTTAATCCATGATATTGGTCATAATACCAACTTAAAAATAGTTCAAAGGTCCTAGAGATCCTTGGGATTATACTCGAATTCAAAACTCACCTCATTCTGACTCTGAAAGGGACTTCCAGGCCTCCACTGCGAACCAGATACAATAGACGGTGAATAAGCTCTACTGATACTTGCTGCAACATCGCCAGGGTTACTATCAGAGCCAGTTCCATCACTACCCTTCGCAGCTGGTGGCAATACCATTTTGCTCAGCGGGGAAGTTAGAGGTTGGACGTTGCTCTCAACTCCCATTATATTCCTCTTTGCAACTTCAGCTGCTGAAGTAACACTAATGCGAGCTCCACTAGTAGGACTTGGAGACACAGGCTGACTTGGTTGAGGCTGGTTGGGGATACTAACCCTACCAATGCCCTTCACTGGAGCATCAGCAACAGATGAGGGTGGTTTACGGGAAGACAAGGTTGTTGCGTCTTCTTCCTTTGCAGCCACTGGAGACAAACTTCCCATGCTTTCCGTGGAAGTTTGAACAGGAACAGAAGTTGATACAACAACTGGTGCATTTGGAACATTGCTGACGGGAACATTCTGACTTGAACGTCCCCCAACGGGTGTTGTTGGTGCTGAGTGAAGGCTTGCGCCATTCTTTGCCGGAGGGGTTTTTGGAAGTGCCTCAGAGTTGCTATCCGATACAGTTGAATCATCTGGCAAACTTATGCTCTGAAACAAATCCAAAATATTGAGACATGAACAAAAAAATCTTCAAACAAAGGGATATAGGAATACTTACCCGAACTTGTGGTGCTGGTGCTGCCAAAGAACTTTTCATGCTCAGAGGAGTACCCTGACAATAAATCACGTTACTACTAATCTAACGCAACATGTCCTGAATTTATGACTTTCAAAAAGATTCCTGAAATTTTGTGACGGACACAGCAACTTCTTGTTTCCACAGAGAGATAGAGAATTATGTAAATAGAGAGATTGCAAGAAAAGTTCACCTTGACAAGGGGGCCAGCAGTAACTAGATCTTCAAGCCCCTCCACCTCATCAAGCGGCAACGTGCTATAGAGCTCGTCAACATCACTGAATTCGTCAAAATCATCCTACATAGGGAAAAGTTAAACATAATCCAGGAGAATATCAGCCTACTTATTAAATTGTTGGAAACCCAGAGTAACTTATATTAAAAACATAAGTAGAATATTCCTTGTTATAGATGACGCATACCTGATTTCGTTCAACATAATCATCCAGAAAATCTTTGACATCATTTACTTGTTCTGGACTTAATTCATCATTGTCCAGAAGTCTCAAGATCAATTCCAACTTTATTATATGATCTTTGTGCCTTGAAATAGATGTTTCAAGATGTGTCTGAAAGGGAAACAAAACAACCAACATAACTCACCCCAAGCAAGGAAGTAAAGCATTTGCATACCTATGCATATTTTTCTGAGCTTACCAATCTGGGCGGCCTTGTCTTTCCTTTTTTGACAGACAGTCCTTCCAACTCAGCCTCAAAGCTATCAATCTGTGACTCGAGTTCACTGACCTATCAAAAGCAAGAATATGAGTGGTTAGCTGAAGCAATGATTTAAAGATAATCCATAAGGACCTACTACCTAGGATTCATGGCACATCAACCCACAATTAGCCTAGGATTTCACAAACACTATTAATATAATTCCCCCTTGAAGTTTCTGTTAAAGGAAGGGGGGGTTCCAGAGTAAACAATCACGCAACTTACCACATTGTTCAACCAATCTCTTGTCTCTGACTTTGCCTTCTCTTTTGGGTCCTATTAAACATGAAGCAGAGACGGTCAGTCGTCTGACTATCAGAAAGAGGTTTAAGTAATATGTAAATCCACCCATGGTGGTTCGATCAGATTTCACAAAACCAAAAAAATGTTTTGATAACTCAACGACGTCGTTAGAAGGAAAACGTAAATTCATATCTACAATGGACCGGTAAATAAACACTCATTGATCCAACATCTCCTTTAAACATGTGAAAAAGACAACTTGCACTATACTGCTCCGTAAATAGTTGCTTTAATATTCTACAAAATTGAACCTAAGTATATTACTATATAAATGACAATCTGAACATTGCGTGATATAGATTTCAGATGAAAAACAGAAGCACCAACTAACCAGCTTCCTGAAATTATTGGCAGTCCAAACACTACAATACATTCGTTTTGAATTAAACCCAAAGGAAACTTGGAGAAATGCTTACAGTTTTAGGTTGCTGACCCAGTCCTTCCTTAGAGAAGGCTTTAGTCTTGGTCTCTTTCTCACAGATCTTAAACCTCTCCATTTCTCGCTCAATGAGCTTCCGAGCGTCAACCAGCGATTGCTCATATGATGCGCTGACCTAAATCAAACGACAGACAATCTGCTTAGTTGAGTCTAGAGCATACATATAAGGTATATAAAAGTGATATATAATAGAGATAAAGCTACACTTTTCAGCTTTACAGAACCAAATAATATATGCTATAAGGTATAACAAGTAAAACCACAAAACACCTCACTCAAATGAATAAAAATCAGAGCTTTTCTTTAATATGTTAGGCGTAGAAGATGAAGAAGAGCACTGACTTTTTTATCTTTGATCTCACTAGACTGAATCCAAGTCTTGATCTGATCCCTATACCGCTGCAACTTCTTGATCTCCTTCTTCAAATCCGCCTCAAACTTCTCCTTTTGGTTAACATTATCTGAATCATATACCTGAAACACCAAAGAAGTCCAACGTTTGTCCTCTGTCCACTCAAAAAAAAAAATCTTTTTTTTTTTTTGCTGCTGCGAAAAGTAACAAACAATCTGCTCACATTCCACTGCATAAACAACAAACATGGAGCTCGATATTGAGTCCCACTGGGAAAAATCTCACTCACAAAACAAAACAAACAAACAAAAAACAAAATTATTATAAGAGGCCAATAGATATAAATAACATATCATCTCATCTCATCTCACACACTGCTTCAGTAAATCTCAATTCTATAACTGATGTTGATGAAATGGTCTATCACAAATCATATGTGATTGGAATCGTAACGGATACCTTGTTCCAGATGCTGTCGAAAACATCAACGCCTTCCTGAACCTTCTTCAGCACCCGATCTATCTCTCCTTGTAATTTTCGACTCGCGCCCATAACAGCTTACAGTAGTAATTAGGGTTTTCAGTTTCAGAGCGATGAGGAAGAAGAGATGATGAATTGATTGGATCGTTAAGAATGATTTCCGACAAAATCAGAACGAGTTAAAGGATCCGAGTTCGAGTATCGTTGGGCCCATAATTAAAGAGTATATAGCGGGCTTTTTTTATTCTCCGATTTGTCCCCCTTATTTTTATTACTTTCTAAATGAGACCCCACAGTTTTTAATTATTCAATTGAGAACTCATTTTTTTTGCCAAATGTGAAACAAGTCTCTATGATAATTGAAGAATTATTGATGATTCAGAAGAAAATTTTTTTGTAACACCAGAACAATGTATATTAGCTGTTTTTTACTTACTTAAGACTTAATCAAATACTAATAAATTTTGTTAAATAGTATATTATTGGTTTAAAATATATAAATAAAAATCACACAAGTTTAACATCTATTGATAGATTCTATAAATTTTTTTAAAAAAAATTATCAGTCGAGGAATTATGTTTAGATTTAAATTCTATTAAAATACATGATTTGAATAATATTTCCTGAATGTTTGATATTTTTATTTTCATATTAACTTCAACTGGTAGTGTTCAATTAAGTGGACCAAAAGCTTAATTTTGAGTACAATTAAGCGTCTACAAATATGTCAGGGACTAAACAAGATAATATCCTACTCTTTCTTTTGAAACGATGTCGTTTTGCACCCACATTTCGGTCTCTTTTCCCAAACGGATGTTCGTGTCCTGTGACGTGATTCTCAAACGCGTTATTAGCCAAAGCATCGATGGTATCTATGTATGTACACTGTACACATACTCGTAAGTCGTAACATTTGTTCATGATCATGTCTCTATAAACGTTCTTCATTCAAAAACATGAAGTTAGTAATACAAATATATGATAACATGAGGATCATATATAACCAGTGGTGCATATTTTGCAAAACATGTCTCTTTTGTTTCGAATAATATAACTCATTTTCAGATGAGTTAAATGGTTCTTTCTCAACTCCAGCTGAAACCATTCAAATCAAACTGTTTAGGACGCCTTGTGCCGTAGCTTTCCTCATGTGTGTTAAGATCTAGAGCTGTTCTTGCGCGTGTTTCAACCTTGCAGTCTTCTCCATTCTCGTTGAATCTTTCCTCTGTATACCCATTGTTGCTACTACTCCCTCCTCTGTGTTCTTGTAATCCCACTCCTATTGACAATCTTCCAGGGCTTCTTCTTGAAGACGAGCTTCTCTGTTCCATTGTTGAAAGATACGGCCTGTTATTCTCTCTGAGACCTTCTTCTTGTTCTTCTCCCCATGTGAGCTCCATTCTCTGGAAAAATGGTTCTTCCATTACCTCTTTCTGCTCTGAACTTGAATCTCCAAGATATGTTCTTAACCCTAACCTATTCTCAAGCATCTTGGGAGCTTTCTGTGTTCCTTCACTTGAGGTTAGGCAACTTTCCAGGGATGAGTTTGGTGGTGGATAAGCTGTTTGCATATGTTGATGGTGTAGATTCTGCAGTTCTTGGAAGCTAGCGTCTGGATACTCGGCTGATACTTTAGATACTAGCTTTGAGAGTTGAGCTTTAGTTGCTTCAATCCCAGCTGGACCTAAGTTCTGTCTTCCAAGTGTCTCTTGTGCTTTCTCCAGAATCGATTGCAGGTACTTCCCTTGAGCCTCGATCCTGAGCTGCAAATGTCGCTGTACCTGACTCAGTTTAATAAAATTATATAATGAAACCGTATCTAAATGCTTTGTTGTTTCTGTTTCTAGATAGAGTTTTAATTTAATCCTCTTTTGATGTTCTATACCTATGTCTTTTATGTGTTTCTACACGTTTGAGTATAATAACACACTTTATGATAGTTTTTAATATAATATGTGATACCTCAAGTTGCTCGTGTAGCCTTCTCTGAACTTCTATTTGCATTTGAAGAGCATCACTTATGGGCAAGTTCCTGTGTACATATGTATGTCATTTTTTTGAAAATTTTAATAAGTTAGACTATGTAAGAAAATAAACATATTCTTACATGCTTGGCTGTGGTCCAATGCTTAAACTCTCACTGTGAACTTCGTCTGCTTCAGGGGTGTTTTCTTCTACCATGGTCATCACACCTAAACCAAGTAACTTTTAGATTCTTTTAGATGAAAAGTTTCGTCTATATATATGAGTAATGAATAACTAAGCTTACTTGTTTTGTTTAAACTGCTGTTAGCTTGTCCATTAAGATTCTTGCTCAGCCTATATTTCTGAAGATGACTCTTGAGATGATATAAGGTAAGGCCTGGAATACCCATGACTTTCATTATCGTCTTAGGAGTAGCCTCTGCAGAGACAAAAGTATACACATTAGTACATTATGTCTAGAAGCCTGATTGTAAAAGATGGTTCCTCTGCTTATAATCTAGCTTACTTTCTCCTCCTCCAAGCTGGTTAACTGCTTCGACGAATCTCTCATGAAGATCTGGAGTCCATTTTAGTCGTGGCTTCGCATCGGTTGAGAGGATGAGTCCAGAATCTCCTGGGCCATTTCCTCTGAGAAATGGATGCCTTTCAGAAGGAATAGGCATTCTAGATGAAGAGAGGATGCTCTTTCCTTGGTGCTGATTGTGGTAATACATAACTCTGTCTTTAAAATAAGAAAAGTAAGTCTCTCTTTACCTAGCAATACTGCATTAATAATGAGTTGTAATGACCAAATGTTTTTCTTTTACCTGACACAATCTTAGTATTAAAATGCAGCCTGCTTCTCTCAGTTTCAGAGATAGTACACTATGGTCTGCAACTCCACCAACTTGGGAAAAATGTCTTTGCCCCCCTTTCCTTATTTATACTTAGGCCTTGGTCTTTGAAGAGTAAAAGGTCTTTGCAACTTTGCTTTATATAGAAGATGATAACTAATGTATGGAATATGAATAACTGGTCTAATCGTAGCTTTGTTGTTTGTGTTCTTATCGTTTCAATTGTAGGTTGTTTTTTTTGTTAGATTATATTTTTTTTCTTGTAATTGATTCCTTTGGATTACTGCTTTTCAAATGCAATTTCAAGCCTTGCATTAGATACCAGAATTGATCCACAACTAATGCATCATATTCTCCTTCATTCATTCACCATTCTGGCATATGAAAGTATCTTATTCTTCAAATTTTTTTGAAAACTTTTCTAGTTGGGCAGGGGAACTCATTCTCTTTCGTTATTCCTCAGTTTTTTCAAAGTCCACAGCTCTAACCTATCTCTCTCTTGAGGAATAATCTCAATCTTTCCACTTGTCTGTATTGTTTTTGCTCCTACTTGAGAGTCCTTATTTTTTGGTTTATAGATACATTTTGAGTCTTGGCATTTCCTATTGAAACTTTAAGTTGGATTTTACGGACGGCTTATTTGGCCATGTTTTATATACGCAAGTAGGATGAAAGTTTATGTTTCCAACATTGCTTTGTCTTGAAAGATAATTAAGACGTGAGAAAGCGAATGAAGAATACTTCATGATGTCTCCTTCAACAAGTTTAGTACCTATTCTCTCTAAACAGCATAAAAACTAGTGGTGGACCTATACTTTACATTCTTTGATTGGCAAAACATATTTGGCCCATGCATCCATGCTTGAGTTATGAATGTATGCATGCATGTTTGTACGTATGTATCTAGCCTTTCATGTCTATTCTAAAGGCTAACATAACATGTCTTCTGACCATATATGTATGTATTGTTCGTGGGTTTATGTGTGCATATCTACATTTTAACTCTGGCTGCTTTCTTACATTATACGTCCCTTAATCAACTTTATCGATGGCTGCCTATACATACACTTTCATATTGATATACAGCTGTATAGAATAAGTTCGTAGATAAAGATATATATGTACATAGAAGTCGTGATTGCCAAATGCCGAAATGATAGCTTCTGTATGTGAAATTGAGAATATATATCCACTATCAAAGTCTAGAGTCTCGCATATCTTATTGAGTTTGATAGATGCCTTGGTAGAAACATGGTCTACTGTTTCAAAGGAAATTGTCAAACGACAAATCTTATGTTCCTTGAATGATATCTTTGCATATATATTTTTTTCAACCTTTCATGGTTCTGATTTCTCATTAACACTTTATTCTGTTTGGTAAAGAAACTTTTTAATAACCTTCAGTTAAAAGTATTTCAGCATATTGCCGAAATAGTTGATTGGCATGTGAGTGGGAATATGCTTCCACAAAGAGAGGCTTCTATCATTGTGTGCTGCAAGTTTTAAAAGTCTATTTGAATACCATCAGAAAGTAAACCTAACCAAGCAAATTATGTGTATGAATTCACTTTTTTTTACCAGATATTGCTAGAAAAATCTCTGTCTTATATAAATGTAGCTGCTAATACGACCAAATGTTGAGTATGCTTCTTGCAGAAGAGTCTGTTCTTCAGCTGGTGACAGAATTAGAGAAGAAAACGTTTTGCTGTAACATGTTGATCCATGTAACAGTTATTAACCGGGATGGACCTAAGATTTTAGAGGTCATAAACACTTATTAAGAGTTCTAATTAAAGTTCGTAGTGTAGGAATTTTACTATAACCGTATAGAAATTAGTATATAAATTTTTTTGATGTAGTTGTATCTAATGTAGCTGTTAGAAATTAAATGAGAAAGAAATAGAAAAATGAAAGATATTCTTACATCAATCCTACAATAGTATTTTTTTGCTTTAGAAAATAAAGCTCTTACATCCAATTTTTTTTTTTTTTTGTGGCTTTAGCTGTAAAAACTCTTAAACTAGTTAAAACATGTTTGATAATTTGCATGGTTACAGATATAAAATAAAATTAAAGCCAGTAGTTAAAGCCCACCAATCACCCATTTTGTTTATGTATTTAACTTTCAAAAAAAAATATGGGCTAAATACAATGCTTCATAAGGCTATGCTCAGTTAATATAAAATGTTGTGTGTTATTGCAGAAGTAGAGCATAACTCATTTTTGACGATGACCTCGTTCTGCTTGTGCTTAAATTCTGTAAGTCTTTCCTTTTACTATGCTCATTGAGATGTCACTCTTTAAGTAAAAGAGACATAGTGATACAGAATAAATGTTCTTCCTTGTACGTTCATTTTCCTTTTGCAGATTCTTTTTCTCATGTTTACTAGTTTTTTTTTTTTTTAATTTGATCTTCCTTCATAGGGAGAATAACTGAACACGTGGGCGGCATCGTTAGGATTGTGACTGCTTAATGGAACGAGAGAGTATTGGATACATTAAGAATCAAGAAGAAGGGGGAAATGACCGTGGAATTATATTCCTTTTGGGAAGAAAATGGAGACGAAAAAAGTTGGTTCCTGAGATGATTCTTCAGAATGAGAATATGAGAATCCAAAACTAAAGAAAGTTTTGGTGAGTCGCACTCTCAACTCAAGAAGAATCTCTTTTTCTATTCATCTCAACGCCAACACACACACAAGATACTATTCGGGTCTATTTCTTTCTGCTTTTGCTTAGTTTGGTTTTTATGTGATTTTGTAGTGATCTTTGTGATTCTCACAAGAATAGTTGAGAGTTTTGTGTTCACCAACAGAGAACATATTGTGATTTGTTATTTGAATACTATAAAAGATTGTGTGCATGGTGCGACTTGGTGCAAACGCAAATGCTGTGGCTAGTTTAGACAAGTAGGTTCGTTTATAAAGATTGATTGTTTGGTTGCAAGTAGATAATAGTAGTATACATTCTTGTATTTTTTCTTTTCAGTTTTATCATACATTCTTTTGTTCGTTTACTTTATTTTATATTCGTTATATACATTGTATTTCAAAAAGATGTTGTTAACCCTTTGGAACATGGAGAAGTGAGATTCCAAAGATAACTTGGATAAGCAAAAAAACATCTTCCCTTTAACAAATATATCATCTCTTAGAAAGTAAAAATAGATAGAGCTAAATCCTTTAACAAAAAACAAACAAAAATACATAGAACTGAATAAACCGGTCTCTAACCGGTCTTTAACAAAAGAAAAATAGATAGAGCTGAATAAACCGGTCTATAACCGGTCCAATTTAATAGCTATTTCACAGTTGGATCGACTCGGTTTAATTAAGCTGGCGTGTCGACAGATTAGTGGCTGTATAGTACGGAACTAAAGTAGTCTCATCCGCAGTCGATTGGTGAACTCTTTCTTGCCGAACAACAACAGAGAGGAAGAAAGCAAAACAGAGTATAAACCCTACTGAGAAGAAGATATCGTTGTGGGTTTCTCGTGCTCTTTGTTCTTCTTCCTACTGAGAAAAATGGCTGATCCAGGTCACGAGACAGAGATCAGATGCCATCACTGCGCAGGGCCTCTTACGAAAAACTTGGTATTTTTTTTCTGCATCCAGCATCAATTTGTATTATACAGATCTCTATTTTAGATGATCATTATAGAGGAAGATTCGTTCTTTTAGTATGGTTTTTGAAATTAGGAATTGATTGATTTTCAGGAAACTAGTGAATGGACTGTGGCTCCCTTCATCAGGGATAGCTTTTCTATGGTAAGTTTCGTTCAGTTCTTCGACTCTTTTAGTACTATAGTTGGCTTCACTTGTAAAAGGTTGGTACTTTGACTTTGAGGATGCTAAAGACTTTCACTTTTGTTTCTATTTCAAATGGATTGAAAAGGGTGTTAGTTATTTTTATGTTTTAAAGCCTTTTGTTTTTTATATGATCTTTAGATTGGATCAGCTGTTGGTGGTACTGCAAGTGCATTCATTGGATTTAACCATGGTATGTAGAGCTTCTTACGAACTTACATCGAATCTTGTTGATTGTGTCTGGAAGCCTTTAATCGAGTGGCACCTACTCACTTTAGGAGTCTCCTCTGACTTGGGGAAAGAATTAGAAGCAGGATTTAGTCATAGTTTGTAACAAGGAAAGGCTTGAGTGTATTTTATGACCAACTGTGGGCTGTAAGAATCAGCATACTAGTATTATCAGTATTTGTAATCTAGTTATGTGTTGGTTATAGACTACACTGATACAGTTATATTTTAAGCTTGCTCAAAAGAGCTTGAGTCTGTTTTGCGTGTTTAAATCTCTATTTGACGCAGTTATGCCAATTGTTCGCAAGTGGATAAAAGGACCCATGTGGTTACATTTTCTTGTTGGGGTAAGTTATTTACAAAATTTGCAGAATTCTCTTCGTTTTTTTCCATCATGCTTTGTTTTATTTTGTTCCATGCGTGTTACATGCATAAAACATTTGCGAAAAAAGACCAGTAAATTTGTATTGTCCTTTCTTTATACTGATGAAGCTATTGATTTTTCGATCTTTATCAATTCAATGCAGGCACCGCCTGTTATAGTTGTTTCATCGGCCTGTGCTGGACTAGCAGGTTTGAGATCTTCTTCCCCCTCTTCCTCCTCCACTACTTTTTTTTTTACTATGGTGGAACATAAGTTCATTGTTGATACCTTGGTCACATATTAATAATGCGTCACTTGAGTGTTATCTTGCTAACGTGTCAATAAGCTCCAAGATTCTGAACGCTACACCTCTTTCTTTGGGTGGAATGTTTGCAGGTGGCACTGTACCAGCACTGGCACAGCTTGCTTCATCGTCATACCGAGCAGCAGTCCATTCGTCTCAGCCACCAAAGGCACAAGAGAATAACAAAATCCAAAAGTCTACAACATCTCCGCTATAAAACACACAGCACAGCTTTCGCTTTCGTTCTTTTGCTTTCTCCATTTTGTATGTCAATCTTTTCTTCAAGAGGGAAGTTCTTTTGTGTATATACTTCTGTTTTATAGAACTCACTAGTGCTAAAGAAAGCTTAAGTCGTGCAAAAGGATTTAATGTTTCGGAGTCTATTCTATGCCCATGGATCATTCTTATTCACTCACTCATATAATGAAAGCTCGATTCACATAAGGATCATTTTTGCTCTTTCAGTAGTCAAGGGGTTTCTAAAGAATATTAGAATTGTTTTGGCTCTGTTTTGTTATATATATCTCTTTACACGAGGGTAGTCTTGGGATTTTTCATATTTGGAGGCGGAAAATTTTAGGAGACTAGGGTTAGGGCGTTGACCAAAAGACTAGTATAAATAGGGAGCAAGTAACTAACTCTAAGCTTCAAAACTACTTGATCTTATCTGAGCTGAGAAAAAGGGTTTATGGATGAGGGTTTTGACCTTCTCCGGTCATCACGAGCAACCCCATGTCCTTCCTTTGGAAGATATGGCAGGCGGCTCCGGTGACGGAAAAGGCTTCCTTTTATATAATCCCTTTGTTTTCAGCGATGAAGACTGCTTGCTGCCTGAGCGTACGATTTACTCGGCGCTAGGATGGCTTTTGCGAGCTTTAACTCCCCCAACAAAAAAATATGTGTTTTTAAGTTTTATTTTATTTTGATTCTTCTTTTAGGTTTTTGATGATTCTCAGACAAGTCTAGACTGAAAGTGTTTTGTTTGTATTGTTTTTTTGTTCTCTTTGTGTCCTACAATAAGACAATAGAGTTTCTTTTGGTCTACAAATAAAATTATCGTTTTTTGTTGTTACAATGGCATAGTAAATCACTGTAGGCAGTAAACATATGGTTACAACTTATGAGCTAGATCCAGGTAAGAGTTATAGAGTAACCTAAATAGAATTATTGTCATGTTGGAATTTTAGGAAGAAGATAGGAAGCTTATATTCAAACAGCAGCTGAGTTTTTCCCATTTATGTCTTCTTCTTTGATTGTCGCTGCAAGATGTTGTGCTATGCAGTTCTGAACCCATAGCTGTGTGGCTTCTTCTGAGAGATCTTAGTGCTTGTTGCAGCGTCTCAGGCGCTATCAGTTGTTGCTCGATTGCTCCGATGGTGTTGGAGCAAGCAGGACAAGATGGGTCTCGGGTTTGAGAAGTTGGGGTCACTTTGTCTAAACATTCCACATGGTAGACGTGGTGGCATGGGAAAACACCAGCAGCTGGCATGTCTCCACTTCTCAGTATCTTTTGAGAGCACCATGGTGATTTCTGAGATAGGAGTTTCTTGCAAACCCCGCATCTCTCTTGTGTCTTTGAATCAAATCTCTGGTTTGATACTTCTGTTTCATTGGATCTTTCCACATCTAGCAGCATTTCATTATTGCTACTCGTGTTGTTAATCGGGTTTGGTGATGCCTCCTCTACTGATGAGTCTTGGTTGTTTCTTGTGGACGTCATGAAACTGGAAATAGGATCTGTGAATGAGTCTTGTTGCGAATGATCAAGTTCAGGATTCTCACAATCTGAAACCGGGTTGCAGAAGACCCGAGGATAAGAGCAGTGTGTAAGGCTTAAAGGTTGCTGGCTTGGAGTCACCCGTGAGGCAGTTGGTTCTGAAAGAGATAGCAAAGAGCTGAAACTAGCTGTCCTTTCTCTATCAAAACGTTTTTCCTGTGACATCAGCAAGGTACATGGTTCAGCCAAAGATGAAAGCATCCATGAAATGCTCATCTTGAAGATTAATAATATACTAGACTTACCTCATCCAAGCATGGAGGGTTTGAGCTATTTATTCTTGGTATGGTATTCTGTTCAGTCCCACCAGAAGCAGACGAGCTTGAAACCCATCCTGGCGATTGCTGAAAACAGGATTCCAAAGTTGTACTTTGTCTATTTCTGCTCGAATACAGTCCCAAGCTGTGACTGTCATCATCGCTTGTATCCTGATCCACACCATCTCTAGTATATACAGCAGGTGAGAAGCTGAGATTAGTACGCCATTGCAGTGCATCATCTTGACGCGATGGAAGAACATCCCTTCCTCTGAGGGGTGGTAATTTGGTTGTTACCAGTGGCCTTGAGGCCACAACACAACAGAGTGCGCCCGTTTTGAGCTCTCTTATATATACTCTCACCGCCTTCAAGTCCGAACGATGCTGACATGTGACAGTTAAAAAAGAAGTAATCTTCTCAATGCAGCGAGACTTCTGCATCATGAAGGACATCAGATAAAAAAAGTTAAAAACCAAAAGACCTTCAGTAACTCGTAAAAACTGTAATCTTTATATTATAAATGAAATTATCTGCGTATACACAGCTAAATCCCCTAGCTTAGTGGTTAAAATAAATAACACAATTAAGCTGAATGATCATCACTAATCTCTTCTCAAAACACCAGTAGCAAAACGGAATCGATAATGTTTATAATTTAAGCAGATGTAACCAAATTTAGGACAGGAACACAACTCATAAGTTATAACAGCAGGAATTTAGATTAACAGAAGCTGGGAACATTGTTTGGACTACAAAACGTAAGCATCATTAGTGAAGAGAGATCAAGCATATAAAAAGTTAATTAATTTCAGTGTTAGAGAAAAAAGCAAGAAACAAGTGTCGGTGAAAGCCAAGATTAGACTTGTGCAGAGAATTATTCTTAAGTTTCTTATACCTTTCAAACTGGAATCTGATGATAGCTGTATCTTGGTGAGAGAGGGATAGAGGAGATTTTGCAGAATCAATGGCGGTGAAGCGACGAGAAGTGAGAAAGCAAGAGCGCTCCTTCTCTTTTGAAATAGAGAGAGAAACGACTACTATGAGTTATTGAGAGAGAGAGATAGAAGATTAGGTAATTATTAATTAATCACTCCCTTAGTCGTTTTGTTAATTATTATCTCATTGATCTTCTTTTTGTTTGTTTAATAGTATTGGTTTAAACCCCACTCATTGATTTTTCTTGTTTTTTTGTTCCTAACATCGGAATACTCATTATTGGCTTATCAATATGGTTATGTTATGTATAAATTGACTATGACATGAGTATTACTAGACTAATTCATTATTTGTTTTCAGAAGGATAGATGTATCAAAAACTATTTCAGTTTATATAACTTATCATTTTCTTGCAAATGCTATTTTCCTTATTTTCTGTCACCATCGTTGTTTATGATGGGTTAACCTGTTTGGTCATATTCTCAGCTAATCCTGAATACAAAAAAACAATTTAGTGGTTGTCGAATAAAGATGTTTCACTCAAATATTGACCTATCAAAATCAACTTTCTATCTTAATTAACGGAATAATTAATTAAAGTTTTGTAATGTTGTTATAGTAGTGAGTGTCAAACTTGGGCCTCAATCTTCAAAATATTTCATTTGATATTTGTTTTATGTCCAGCCCATGAGATTTTGGTTCTAATTAACGCACGATACTCATCCCAACAATAACTGTAAATGTTAATGAACTAAGCCCATGATCTTAAAATTAGCCCACTACAGTGAAACCTCTATAAATTAATAATGTTGGCATTACACTAAAATTTTATTTTTTTTATTAATTTAGACAGATATTAATTTATTGATATAGTAATTGAACCAAAAAACTCAATTTGGGATTATAAAATTATATTAATCTATAGAGATATTTAGTGTATATTAATTTATAGAGGTTTTACTGTATTTAGTGCTATGTTACCTTTTGTAAAACCCGTGGCCCATGGTATAGCTGTCTACTCTAATCTGATCCGCTCTTTGTAACAAAATGAAGTGATTAATTTAATCGCTTTGTAACACTTGCTTTTACATCAAAAGCATGCCAAACTTTGAAATTGAAAACTGGATTTGATTACTGATATAACAGATCAGTTGTAGAAAGAAACAGTTTCTGTGAGAAACTGCAACCGGTTAAGCAAAAACATTTCGAAATGGTACGAGGCTTTGGATCACGCAAGACAGGCGAAGAGGATGGCACAGAGTTATTGGCTAACGCTAAATGCATGTGACCGTCAAATTTCTTTCTCCAGTAAACCCTAATAGGGTTTGGGCTAATTCATAGTATTTTGATATTTTAAATATTAAGATTTATACATAAACTCAACTGTTAAACATATTTTAAAGGGTAAAATAATTTTAAAAATTTATACAAATTTAACAGAATCCGCCTTTTTCAAGAAGAAAAAGACTGGTTTAACAATGTTAGTTGGAACGTTAACTTTTACGTTGGACGTATATTAAACTACTCTAACCTAGAAAGTGTTTAGTTACATTGTACAATGTGCATACACCTATATAGTTTTTCATGTGAAAGTACTGAAAACTCTATGTAACAAAAAACCTTTACATTTGTTATAAACTCTTCACACTTGTTTGCTATTTCAAATTTAGGTGATGACAGAAAATTCAATACAAAATAAGAAAGTGCAACCACGGGTCAAATTTAAGTTTTTTATGACAAAATGTAATCATTCAATGCATGTCTATTTTTTTTAAGAAAATCAATCATTTCATATGTCTTCTGGACGATAAATGATATATATTTTTAGGATATGGTTGGTGTATATATAAAACATGATGAATTGAAAGAAAAGGATAGAAGAAGGAGACAGTATAAAGGAGGCAACAGAGATCATCATCATCTTTTTTATTTTATTTTTTGAACCAAAGATCATCATCATCTAGAAACCGAAAAAGGAAGAGAACGGTTAACTTTGCTGCAAGTATCGATCTAAAAGCTTCGCCTTAAATGGAAAGTCCTTTTATTATGCGCATTAAAATAATGTTCACATTCATGCATTTTCTTTTTACAAAAATTTTACTTAATAAAATCGCTTTCTACAAATGTTGTAAGCCAAAAAATTACGAGTGAATTCATGTCCAAGATTCAGCAAATAATTAATGGAAAGTCCTGTTATTATGCGCATTAAAATAATGTTCACATTCATGCATTTTTTTTTTTTTTAAATGTACTTAACAGTAATATCACTATCTACAAATGCTGTAAGCCAAAAAAATTACCAGGGAATTCATGTCCAAGATTCAACAAATAATTAATGAGATTTATGTCCTGAATTTAAGGTGGAAGAGACTCACACGCTTATTTCAAAACAAGCATAGTACATTGAACCAGATACATCATTTATTTATGTACGCTTAAAGAGTTCTGTTTATTTTTAGTCCTTTAGATAAATACTACTCTCTCTCTATCAATTTAATTGTCGTTATAAACTTTCGTTTCAAAATAAATATTATTTTATAATTTAATGTAAAATTTATTGACTTTATCTATTATTATATTTTTATTGGTGGAAATATGGTTAGATGTATAAGTAATTGTGTTTTTTTCTAGAAAATATGTAAAATTAAATATTATCTAATCTGTGTGTAAAATCCCAAAACAATAAGTAAATTGAAACGGAAAGAGTACTATCTACTCTCTTGAACATTTGCTTCATTTTTTACAGAAAATTATGGTAATAAGAGCATATATAAATATTAAGGATACGAGTTATATATAAGTCAGGAAATTTGAAGAAGTAAAAAATGTATTAGCTGCGTAGCATTATTTCTTATACAGTAGATACATATTCATGATTTTTAATAATAAAGTTCACCAATATGTTGTTTGATGCTTTTCAAATTAGTACATTGTTTTAAAATTTATATCTTTGTCGTTATATATATATAAAAATATAAGAATTCAATTCTGAGAATATTACAGCACATTCAATCAACAGATCTGCTACTAAATCTTAAACACAGATCTGCAGCCATATCTTATTCCATGTAGAGCCAAGCTTTGTGCTTCGGGACCCAACAAAATTCCTCAAGATAGTAGTATATATATATATTGAAAAAGATATGCATTTGAGGTACTAACAGATGTAATCACAAGCGCTGAAAAATTGCTGAACATCATTAACCACTGGCAATTGTTAAAAAAAATACTAGTAGGAAAACGTAATGTGATTGATGTAATAACCAAGTTCCTTAAGACATAAGACTTAGGGATCTGGAATTGTAGTTTCACAAGTAACCCATCATTAATCACTGTTCTTAGTTGAAATGTTTTTCTATATATGTCAATGATATATTAATAAAGAGTGTGTCATAATCTAATAATCTAAATTATTTGGCATATGAAAAGGCTAATATGCTGCCCAGATTCAGGGAACATTCACATGCTTCATGAGCTGTGTTTTATTCAGATTCAATGATATATTCTTTTTTTTCTTCAGTATTAATTTCTCAAAACATAATGTTGATTGTGATTATAAGTGATAAAATAGTAAAACCTAAAACATTATGTTCGGCACTAATGATAACAATGTTATGATTTATCAACTGTAAACAAAAATACATAACATTCACGTAATTATTATTCTTTTCATTTGTATCTCTACTTGTTTTTGACATTAACTAAGGACATATATATATATATATATATATATATATATATCGTAAATCTTGGTAGCTAAAAATATGTAATTATATATATGTAAGTTACTTATACAGTGTACATAGAGAATATACTACCTAATGCACTAAAACTCCCAAATGATCACAACCCATTTTTTCTTTCTCTTTCCTCCACACTATGAACTAATTACACAATCAACTAAATAAGATCAATGAAGCGAAAATAATAGGATTAACCCCCTAGCAAATCCTATATGTATATATGTATTAATTACATAATTTAAAACCCAACGAATACACTCTTTATCACAATTAAATCATTAATTAACTTTAATTATCCCAGACTAAATCTAATCAGTAGTCCCATAAGATCCCTCTTAAGTCACATAGATCTTCATAAGACTTGCTGCCATTCATCATTCCCATCATACTCATCTCTTGCTTCATGGCCGGAACCGAAGATACCTCTGTGGTCGTGGCTGCATTCACATCTGAGCTCAGGCAGGTTTCTTGAGATACACTAACAAGCGAGTGCTCCATCTTGATCATCTCCTTGTTGTTGTTGTATGAAGAACCCGAACCAGAAGCAGAACCAAAACCCTGGTGGTTAAAGATTGATTGGTAACTAGAGTTGAAGTGATGGGCTTGGATTGGTGATGAGATGTTGTAGCTTGGAGGGTTGATGGGTTTGAAGCTGTGTTGTTCGGATTGGCCCGTGAAACTCGGATCCATGAGAGGAGGAAGAGATGAGAAGTCTAGGAGATGGTCAATGTTATCAAAAGAATCCATTCTTGGGAGATCTTCAATGGGTATTCTCGTCATTTGTTGGGTTGTAGTAACAGGATTGTTCTTGTGAAAAACCCTACAGACGACCCAC